TGACATTTGTAACAGCAGCCAGTTGGACCCCATGGCTTCTTTGGTCCCTTCCAACCCTACTATTCTATGACTCTTTAAGATATTTATATAATATTTTTCTATATGAGTTGGTGGTATAACATAATTACTGTATTTAATTATTTTACATGACTGATACAGTTGTAGTCATGAGAATTCTGCAAAAGTCTTTAAAATGTTGCTGGGTTTCACAATTCAATGTATATTTATTTAATTTCCCCATTTATGGCATTTTGTATTATATGCAGGACCTGGTAATCTTGACAGCTAAGTAGATCTCTCATATGTTTGCTTTCTTACTTCGAATAGATGTTAGAAATAAATGTGCATGCAGTTGTTGGTAATATATAAAAACATTGTTCAAGATACTGCTTAGATCTTTTAAATAGTAAAAAGCTTTATAGTAAACAGAACATCAACTATTTACAGACTATTTCAAGGTGAACGTTGTTGGTAGTTATTCTACACAACTCTTTGCTGATTCTTGGCCAAGAAAAAGTGATTAGTTTAAGATAAGATTTTTGCAAAATAGTTAAGTATGTAAGCAAAGATTTAAGGCATATTCAAGCACTCTGTGAATAATTCTCCATGAATAAAAGAAAATAATGTTTTTCCTGCAGAGTACATATTGTGCTATATCTCAGCAGTTGTCTCTAGTTGTATCTCTAGTAATTTGCTACATGATCCTTATAATTAGAGATGTCAAAAATTGGGCCTGGTATGCAAATTATGTGTTCTACCAGTGAGCTCTGGTCCCTCTAAAAGGTATCAGCACCTTAGTAACATAAGAAATTGGAATGAGTTACTTGCGTAGAGAGTAGTCTAAAGTAGTCTGTTCCAGTTTTCCTAGCAGTGGACATATGCAGGATGCATTATCAGAATGTTAGTTCACAACTCTGTTTTTATTTGTTATCTGTGGATGTGATTAAAAACCACTTAAAAATGAGCAACTTTCTAATCTCTGAGACATACAAGGCTTTCATTGTGTGTTTAAAATTGCCTCTTGAGAATGAGTTGTTCAAGGTGAGTTAAACTAATAAAAACTGCAATAACAGTAAAACAAAAACTGTAGCTCATAGCGCAAACCTATTTGCAAGTGGCAGCAACTAAAATACCATATTGCCAAAGTCAGTGAAGGCTGTGAAATTGAAACACAGAATAAGTCTAGCACATGTTGAAAAAGATGGTCAAAAATCCAGCAGAATAAAACTGCTTTTAACTTGTTAGCAGAAACTGGACAGCAAAGATAATTTGAGCATTATGGCACTATCACAGAAAAAGGTGTGATATATACAGCTGAAGACTGCTTCTTTTATGGATTTGATTTAGATCTGGTCATTTTCAAAATATCTGAAATATTTTCATTTGGCAAAAGGGAGTCTCCTAAGGTAGTATATAGCTGTTAAGTTTGCTGTGAATTGTATCTGGAAATTCTGGTAGCTGATCGCTTGGTCCATATTGGTTTTTATATGCCATCTAAATTATGCACCCATCAATGGGTAAACAACATCTTTTCTATATCAACTGTATATTCCAGCCATTCTTCAGAGCCAGCTCTACTGCAGTGTGGAATAAATAATAATTCCTCAGGGATTACCAGTGTATGAAAAATATGGCAAGGTTTTTCTAGGTAAAGGTACAGCTGACATACCTTAGGGGATGGTTTCTCCCTTAGGTCCCTCCCTATTCACTGAGGACCGAGGAAAAACATTATCTTATTTATTCAGTTGTTTATGTGCGTGAGCAAAGATCAGTCCTTTTTTTCTCAAGAGCACACCATCTCCATGAAGCACCATCCCAAAGGAGATTCCTGATGTCATTTAGCCAGCTGCGTGAATGACATCAGCTGCGACTGTTACCGCAGAATAATGATGCTTTGCTGCTGCTGCAGCCTTTGTGTTCTTATGTTTTTAGTTGACTTCTGCTTGACTTTTATTATGCATCTGTTTTATTAAGAGGTGTTTTTAAAACATCTGTTGCTTCATTTGAAATTGGCATAGTATAGTTAGTGAACAATCAGAAACAACAAGCAAAACCTATAATAAACATGCAAACGTGAAAAAACAAAGCATAATATTTCAAACTAAGCCTTCAGGAGCAATATTGTGATCTCGTGAAGAGTGGATAGTTCTACCTGATCCAGGTTTTGTAACCATAAATGATGCTTGCTGAGAACGTGTAAATTAAAGTTAGTGTAGATGTTACATGGGTTGAATCCAGATTCTTGGATGGGAAATGAGAATTGAAATTTAGGACAATACTAGTACAAGGTACTGTCCCTTTAGTTTTACATGATCTTCTAGTGTAATGTGTTGCACATGCCATTGTGTTGACTTGTGCTAAAGACCATGTTGTTGTTGTTGTTGCTGCTGCTATATGGAAGCTATGTTGTACAGTGTCCTCCATTTACTCTTGTGCCATAGTTTGCAGAGTGGGGTGACCACCAGAATGTTTTCTGTTTTTCAACTGTAAAATGAAGGATATAAAGTAGGCAAAAAATCAACGGTTTCCCCAGGCCAATGGATGTTGGTTGAAGCTAAACATCCCTTTTCATCCAGGCCAGTCTATGCAGTCCCAATTGTTTTTAATGGAGAGACTTACACTTAGCTCTCCGATTGAAACTTGTAAAGCTTACAAATGCTTTTTCTGCATTGTACTTGTGTCAGATTCTGTTCAAGCACTGAAATGTGGGAAGGAACTTGACTATTTTTAAATTAATTTGTTTGCAGAGAAGTTAGCTATGGGAGAGGGCTGATGGATCAGAGCATAAGACAGAGTTGTTGCTCAGGGCAGCTGCATTTCATGTAGCTAAGTTTGTTGTGTATATGAGAGAACATTTCAATAAGTTTTGAAAACCCTTTTCAAACTGGACAGGTGTTTATCCAATGCAGGCCCAAGAGATGCTCAGCTTTCCTTTCTCCCTTTTAAAAATGTGTAAACACTGTTGTTAGAATCAAGGTTAGACTGTAAACACATTTGTTCGGGAATCCATTCCACAAGCCTCATAAATAACATACTGCTGGAGACTACACAGTCAGTACACGTAGGATACAGAATGCATAATACTGTATTTTAATTTTTTTCTATACTGTAGTAGTTTAAGGTGAGAAGCCAGTAACAGTGACTCAGTGAATGTATTAAGTTTGTAATTTTGCAGAAGACATAGATGTTTGTGGCAGTTAATTTTTATCCAAAAGGGAAATGGTCAAAACTTGCCGTATTTTTCACTGTATAAGACGCGCCTGACCATAAGACACACCTAGTTTTTAGAGGAGGAAAACAAGAAAAAAAATATTCTGAATCAAATGGGCACATAATCACAGGCACATTCCCCATCACTTCTCCATGGGCTGCACATCTGACAGACTTACTGCACACACATATTCGCTCTATAAGACGCACAGACATTTCCCCTTACTTTTGAGGGAGAAAAAAGTGCGTCTTATAGAGCAAAAAATACGGTACTTTTTATGTTGAACTTAAGACAAGAAGGGAGTAAATTGCTCTCGAAAGTGGAAAGTTTCCTATTGCAATTGTGATAGCTGATACCTATAAAAGGCTGCAGGTAGTATTTTCTGGATATTGTAGGATTGTACTTAGTTGCCATTTGATCCATAAATAAGAACAGAAGTATAAAATACTAAGAAGCTCTTTCACTTAATTGCAGGATATTTAGTTAGTAGCCGAAAAAGTTCTATACTTTCAATTACAATTTTTAAAATTCTTAATAAAATAATTTTAAAAATTATGTGTGATGTGATATTCCCCCATATGTAGCTAAAGTACTACATGGAAAGACTCGGGAGATTTTAAAAGTAATTTAAATCATTTTATGCAAATGCCATCTGTTGGAGTACTTTTCAAATCCTCTTAGCTGTTAAGTGACAGCTTGAAGTCTTCTTTTTCTTAAGAAAAAATATCCTTATTTATACAGTGAAAAATAGTTTTAAAGGGCTTCTGCTTCTTGTTATATAGGCAGAGCCATCTGAATTTGTATATGTACTTTTAATGTTATTAAATGCAACATAACTATTTCTGAAAATGCTGACTCTGCACCCTCAGTGCACAACCAGTGTATCAGGCACCAGCTGATAAATATGCTTTAAAAGTTTACATTAGCAAAGTAACACACTATCTCAGATTATAAATACAAACTTTTACCAGGTGAAGCTGATGGGAATATGCTTGCTAGTATATATATTCCGTTCTAGTGGCATATACCTCTGGAAGCATTTATTTTACTTTTGGCACTATTCTTGTCTGCTGGCCAGTTTTACTTTTTCAGCTACCGCTTTCTGTAGGTAGCCCTGCAGCTAGCTAGAGTTGATAGCTTTAGTCACCTCAAGGCCTAGCACCTAGGATGTAAAATATAATTGCACAATCCAGTGAGGAAGTGCTGAAAGCACAACTTGAGCTTTCCTGTGGTAAATTTTACTTGTGGAGCTTTGCCTTCCTTAGCACAGAACATAGGTATTCCGTATTGCTTATTTATGTATTTACCATTTAGCCGTCTTATGTACGCGTTAAGCTGAAATCGATGTTTTAACAAGAATTTGTTCCAATAGGTGAAAATGTGTGGCACTGTAGAGAGAGAAAAGGTAAAAAGAAAATACAAGATAGCAAAAGGATATTTATAAGTTGTATATCTGTTGTGAATACCTTCTCAGAATACCAAATAGTAGGCCTTTGGTGTTTAATGAATAACAGCTTCAATATAGACTCAAGTGCTGGAATTATTTAGGGAATGGGTTCCTTATTTACATCCTTCTCTTCACAGCATGGAAATGAGACGTTTGCACTTTCATTAGCTAATTGAAATGTTCAAACTTACACACAATGGGTTGTTTTTAAGTGGATCCAGCTAGCATTTTAAAAACAAACAAATTCAGCTTACTATATATGCATCTACTGGTAACATCACTGTGGGGGCTGTGTAATCTGAACAATCAGAGAAAGGTTGATGGTCTGTGATCATTTTTCAGGCAACTGTGGAGGAAGTAATGACTACAACTGCATATTTGGATCTCTTCTTACGCAGTGTTTCAGAACCAGCTTTGCTCAAGATCTTTCTCCGGTTTATCCTGCTGCATCGCCATGAGAATGTACACATCCTGGACACCCTTACAAGTCGCATAAACACTCCTTTTCGGGTGAGATGAGTAACAAAACAGAAGCATAGTTATCATTCAGTATGGAAGATTGTTTTTCGCAAGTGTGTTGTTAATATTTTTCAGTTTTAATATGGATCTACTTAATCTCTCAGTGGGCTTGCTTTTTTATATGGCTTACAGTAAGCATTTATAAAACGTTTAGTACTGAATTACAAGTCCCTGCTTTCAGGATTACAATTCCGTACAAAACAGGAAAGTGGGTGGAAAGAGGAGAACAAAGAAATTTGAGTATTGACTCATATAATGTTATACAGTTGCTGTAGTGACCAGTTAAAATGACCACTAAAGGAGGTGTTTGCACTCATGAAGGTGCCAATCTGCTGTTTGACAGGTTGTATAAATGTTGAAAGATTGCCACAGAGCACATTGGAAACATTTTATAGTCAACACTTGAATGGTGTTAAGAGATTGACATCATCTAATGACTGCGCAATATTTACAATGTTCAGCTGTCCCAGAAACTGCATGCACTTTTAATAATCTAGAGATCCGCTTTCTCCTTAGATACTCTCACCTAGTTTGCATGACATGTTAGCCCATTGTAGCTAAAATTTACCTCTAGAGGCTCTTGGTTTGTACCAGGCACCAGAGGGTATTATTTTTTTCATGGTGCTTGTAGGCACCCAGCTTGCCATGGTGTGTCATGTCATGTAATCCAGGTGGCAAGGATAAATAACCCTCAAATGGTCTCTTTTAGGTTTATTTCCCAATTCTCTCTTGTCTGGATACATTTAGAAAGTTGTTTCCCATCTGAAGCTTGCTGGACATACATTCTGTAGTTTTCTTCAAGCTTTCCCTGCCACAGATATTATAAGACCCAGATTTTGGTTTTGCAGCATGCTTTCACTTGCTTTGTTGATGCATTCTTGATGTTTAATGCAGTCAATCAAATAATGTTTTATATTCTGCAGCTATGAAGACTGAAACTTATTTTTAAGAAATAAATGCTGAATTTAGAATTCTAAATTCTCAACCTTCTGAACATAATACTGTCTAAATAAATAAGGAAACTAATATTATGATATTTTATGCTACCTGATTGTAGAGTTGGCGGTGCCCATTTGTATGCCCTCTCAGATACTCAGTCTGTGTTTGTTTTATTCATTTATTTAAGTTTATATCCTATCCTTTGTCTAAATCAAGCTCTCAAGTTGAGCTCACTACATTAAAAGCAGCCATAGAAATACAATAAAATTTAATTGTATAAACAATTAAAACAATAAAACCATTAATGTAAACAATAAAACTGAGAAGTCAGCAGTAAAATGAGCCCTGCAGCTGCATAAAACTGAATTGGAGTTTGATTTTTTTTCTTTTTCAGTTAACTGGGTGTTGTTGTTGTTATGTGTGTGTTAAGTAATCAACAGCAGAAGTGCTATGCATTAAAAAGGGAGTTCTATAAAATGCTAATGACACCATATTTTTGACAGGTTGAAATTTTACTGCATGAACTTTTAAAGTAATTCCCTCCCTAAAAAACAAAAACAAAACACCACACATTACTAGCATCTTCTCAAGCAAGAATTAATCTTTTTACAGTGTCCCAATTTGGACAAAAAGTTGAAAAAGTGAAAATCCTTGCTTTACCACATGAGTCCTTGCTTTGGTATAATGAGGTTGATCTGTATGATGTCAGTAATAATGTTGTCTGCTTATTCAACATTAGAGTATTTTCCTGGTATTGAATGAGCTGCCAAGGACCCTTCCTGAAAATATGTGTGACATAATAATTATGTCATAGAAATAGTTAATATAATAGCAGCTTCTGTTTGCAAGCAGGTTAATCTCAAGAGGCAAGCAAGAACACCTGCTTCAGTTTGTATTCAGCAAGCTGTCCTCCTGAGGCCCCTTTTGGCTGGCACTTATTTCCTACTAAAGGATGTATATGACAACTGCAAAGTACCATATGGGCAGAATTGCCAGACAATCAGTTTGTGCATTAAATTAGTATCTTAAGGATGACATCTTGAGCCAAGTAAATATTTTCAAGTGGGCAGTGCATGTGGCACATATATTTGCTGCTGTGATTCTAGCTCCAGAACATATCTGTGAAAATTCCCAGACAGCTTTAGTAGCTAGCAACCTAACCTTTAGTTCTATTGACAAAGGGGGCAGATACCATGAAGAATTCACCAGTCAGCCAGAAATTCAGGAGCTCCACCAAAATGCCAGATGGTATAGAAACTATTACTGCAGCTTCCAACATACTACCATAAAATAAAATCCCCATGTGTTGTTACAGAAAGGTTCTGTAGTGTTTGTTAGGATAAATACACAAGCATTCTTGCCCTAACAAATGTTTGTATAAAATATATTACTCTTTGTTTTGCAAATAAATTAAGATCCACTTTGCCCTTTGTTTCATTTCATGCTAGGCTCGTACCTGTTTGTAAAAATATGTGTTTCTCTCCATCAATTTACTATTCCTCTGTGAGTTCATAATTTTGATCAATGTATTTTCCATATTTTCAACTGATGACAGGGGTAGAGCAAACACCAATGCAATATAGAATGCAAACATGTAGAATCCCATTTAGTGAGTACCAATTTTTGTTAGGAATGCAGGGTATAAATAAAATACTCTTACATTCAACCTGGTAACCAAGGGGATCCATATCTGATGGACTCCAACACTTAGCCTTCCTGACCACTGGCTAAGCTAGGTGGAATTGATGGGAGTTGAAATTCAGTAGGATACCAGTGGGGAAGGCTATCTTTTAAGATAAATTTTTATTTAATGCCACCTTGTGTTCCAACCCAGTAAAGTTGACCTTCTGTAAGTGCCAAGCTTTTCTCTCTCACAACTTCAAGCAATGCATTTGTATAGAATTTTGTCTGCTGCAGGGCCTTCACTTACTCAGACAGAATAGGTAACTATCTAATGAGCCATGACTTCAAGTCCTAGTGTACATGAAGGAGGATATCCTGCAACTGGCAGGAAAAGGGAATCCTTTTGTCACTGCAGTGCTTGCTGACTGGAGGTCAGAAAAAACTGCCCATTTCATTAGGGAAAAAAAGCCCTGTTGCAGCTAGAGAAACATGAGCTGTTTTTATTTGAGTTAGGGAAGCCCTTATACAACAGAATTTGAGTGACCATAATTAAATTGAACTATGAAAGTAAGCCATATGAATTTATCACTTCTGAATGCACAAGAGCCATAAAAAGATTTCTATTGCGAGCTTTTCAGGTTTAGAGAGATTTTGTACAAGCTACACATTTGAGCTGCTGTCATCAGTTGACCACTTTTTTCTGTTACTGTTTTTAGGTGCCTTAAGTATGCATCAATATATTTGTAATTTTATTTTAATTTTAAAAATTTGGGTTGGTCTTCAAATGTGGTCCTCCAAATAACATAAATGCAGTTTTGTCTTGTCAATGTCATGGTAACTGCATCCTGTCAATATGCAGGAAACAGCATCTGTGAACATCTACCAAGCAAAGGCATGTGGTGACGGCATATAACAGTTTTAAATAAATAAATAAAGCTACAAATAAGTTAATTTGGTACTTTGCTTTTCACTTAATATTTGTCTTGATATCTGTCAAATGGTGAGCTGTAAAAAGAAAAGCCATGAAAAGTTCTTTGATTGTGAAAGGGTTTGGCTAGTACGTCTTTCCCTTAGTGTTGTGATCCTTTAGCTTTTAAGGCTTGCCCCAGCAGTTCTCACTGCTATCCATCTTTTCCATGCTTCACTGAGCCTGTAGATACTCTACAGTATCTACTGTAGGTAAGGAAAGGTAAGATACATATCTCTCACCCACCAGCATTTGGTTTTCATGAACATGAACTTTTGACAGCTATCAAAAGAAAAGTTTTTGGTTAAGCAGGTTTTTTGACAGGTCTGACCATGGTTGTTTTGACAGATGTTGTATTACCTGTTGGATACATTGTGGGTAAATCATGAGCAACCCACATTGCATAGCTTATTCACAGGGTGGTTTCTCTGTATTTGTCAGAAAGTAAACCATTTCCCAAAAATGCCTTCAGCTAGATTAGCTTGTCACAGAAATTGACTTGTGTATGGCTGAATAATACATTTGTCCAAGTAAGATAAAATAATTCTTATATAAATGTTTATGGGTTTGATGCTAATCATATTTCAGATCCCCTTGAAAAACATCATGTTTGACTATTTGAAAATCTTTCTCTTTTTTCCTTTCGTTCAAAACATACTTGTGTAGATACCAAAGTAATTTACATCTGGCTTTATGCTTACATTTAATAATGCTGACCAAATTCTGACCTTTAGGCATGCTAACCAAATTAGATGCATGTTTTATTACAAAATCTGTGTAATTTTTCTCAATACCTGGATTTGGGTTGTGTGCTACTCTGTGATGCAAAATAATTTTGTAACCTGGGAAAGGATGGAAAGTTACAGATTTTGACTTTGCTTATTACTTCCCAGCTCTGTGTGGTGTCTTTGGCATTGTTCAGAACACTTATCAGCTTGCATTGTGAAGATGTGATATTACAACTAGTTTTAAGGTAAAAACTCTCCCTTTCTTTTGGTATTGCAGTGCAAACTCACCGTTGATAGTATCTTATGTATGCTGCATGTAAGTACATGGAGGGAAAAAGCCTCATGTGTCCAGTGTCAGGAGAGACAGTCAAACACGTTGCTATTTTAGTATGTGCACATACTTGTAAATATCACTGTCAATTGCAAACCAACCTATAACAATATAATTGTTTTGAATTCTGAGACTTTGCATATCTTCTGCTTCTTATATATTTGGAAATTGCTCACACATGGAGACATGCATGCACACACATGCACATGCACACATATATGTCTACACACCCATTCATAAAAATATTTTCATTTCCTCACTGAGTGCCACACATATGCCACCTTTTCCTTTTCTACTGCTCGGTTTTCTGAGCAGGAGGGAGGAAGTGAGGATTGTGGAAAGAAGATGATACCCTTGACAATCCCCCACTACACTCAGAAAACAGGTGAGCAGCAGTAAGGAGCAAACCGCTTTTGCCCATTCTGTAGTGCCTGGCAAAGCAGAGACAGAATGCTCCGATTTGCTAACTCCATCTAGCCACTTCACTGGTTCATGTGCAACAGTGGGGAGGGATTGTAGGGAGTGCAGGTTTAAACCTTTGTTCCTTGTGATCTTACTTCCTTCATGCAGCATCTGATTAGTGGTGTGGCTGCTCTGTTAGGAGTCATAGGGACAAAGTACTCCAGGAACTTTGAGGTGGTGGCTCCCAATAAAGCAGCAGGTCCTGAGTAAGGCCTCTTCCCTTCCTTGAAGCCCCACTCCTTAGGAAAGGTAGGACTGAAGAAAAGTTTTTGGATGCTGTTGCTCTGAGGTGTTCCTTGACATGACTGGCTCTGAGAGGGCCAGCTTTCTTCATTCCTCAGTATTCTTCCAGGGTTTTGTCAGAGTGATTGTAGAAGCTCTATCTGGCATGTCACTTCTGGTTAGGCACAAAACAGCAGAAACAAACAACTGATAAGACTTTTTTTTACCCAAGAACATAAGCACAGAGATGGGGTCTGAACCCCATAAGCTCAAAACTAGTCCTTGAACCTGTAGCTTTCTGTTGCAACAGCGGTTTCACACATTAGAGTCACAGGCCGTATGTTGTACTCACCAGGTAATAAACTCCTTAATAAAGTGAAATTATGCATAGTTGTTAGGTGTAAAATGCTTACAATTAGCAAGCCTAAAGTTTTAGACAAAGTCTGCTTTGAAACCAAAAATATATTTCTTTATGAGGAAAGATTTTTAAAAATGATTATGAATATGATCATTTAAATATTTTTAAAAGATTTGAAGTACACTAACTTTTCAAAACATATAAAACTAATATAAAACATTCTAATACAATGATGTAAATGAAATATATTCTGCTTTTTAACCATCTTGGCCGGCTGATGATATCTCTGGAAATCCCAGTGTTGTCTTGCTGGATCCCTTCCCAACTGGAGTCCAGTATAATGCAGTATAAGACATTATTTTAGAATGAAGGGAAAAGGGTGTGAGTACACAGTCAACTAGGAATTTGTTTTCAGTACCAGAAAACTGCCTCACTTTCTTGTTCCCACACAGCGTTTACTTAAATTTTTCCCCTCTCTTAAGAATTTATGAGGAGGAAACATGGTTTGTTGTGGCAACCTGCTTAAGGACCAGAAACTTCTGGTCATCTATTGCAAATCTACCAATAGAATTCATTCTACCTTTTTCTTCCCTCTTCTCTCTCACTCTCTCAAAGGTGCAGTTGTAATTTGTTAATAAAAGACTCTGTTGTTTTAGGTATTTGATACCATGTAATCACATCATGTTCAGCCAAAGATGGGCTGTGAGGGAAAGAGACTGGTATTCCGTTTCTGCTGCTAGACTTCTTGCTTTGACTCCAGTCTGCTGCTCTAGTGGGATTACTCTGGCTTTTGAAAAGCAAGAAAAAGATTATATCTTGTGGAGAAAGAACATACAGGGGGCAGGTAAGTATTTTACTTGTTTTCTGAATGAACAAGCTTTGTGTTCAGTTTTTCCTCTTTTTCTTCTCCCCTGTGGATTCAGGTACTGTATGGTCAGAATCTTGAAGTTCTGATTACAGTCTTCATTTCTCTCATGCAGTGTTTGACTAGCTTCTTATTCTAACTTGAAGTAGTGAAACACTTGCTTACCATATGAGTTTTAATATAGGACACTATATTAGATTTTCATTTAGGACACTAATAACTCTTAGAGATGAAAAAGTGACCCAAATGATGATGACATTGAGTAGGTTGAAGAGTGCTAGGTCAAGATCTCATGCTTTCTCCTCAGCCTAAATTGTCTTTCATTGTGTGCATAAGATCTAGAATTCACATTGGCTTGATCCAAATGGCAGGGGGTAGAAGGAAAATGCATGTAATCACAAACCTATAATTGCTTGCACAAGGGTATGTGCAAGACTTTGGATAGTATTATAATAGATTATCTGAAAGTTTTAGTGTTTATGCCTACTTAACAGGCTTGTGTAGTTTCTGATCTTAATATAATTTGTGTTACACATGTGGAAAACCCTCTGCAAAAGACTCTCCCAAAAGCTGAAAAAAGACAAGACAAAACAAAACATGTTTTGACCTTGTTCAAGGTGTTTTTTCAGGGATCTTACATATGGAATAGGTTTGGTTTATTACTTTAAATATTGCTAATATCTAGGCATGCCTGCTCTGCTTCTTATATTGAAGAAAATAGTTATTCAGTTATATGAATGGCACTAAATTGATTTCTATTTAATATATTTATATTAGTTGTAGATAGGCCATTTTTTTATTTATTTTTCAATTTATAGTCTGCCTTTTTCCTACAAAGGACTCAAGGCAGCTTACGTCTCCTCCTCCATCTTATCCTCACAAGGTAGGTTGGGCTGAGAGTCTGTGACTGGCCCAAAGTCACCCAGTTGGCTCCATGGCTGAGCGGGGACTAGAACCCAGATCCTCTGAGTCCCAGTCCCATGCTCTTAACCACTACACCACACTGGCTCTAAATTTTTCCTTTATAGATTGTACTAATAACTAACAATGTGAACTAGTCCATATTTCTGGAGGGTCCTTCATGAATGACTGTATCTAACGTTCGCTAGTTGTGAACTGCCTTACCAGGAGTTTGAATTATTAGTTGATGGTTTATTAAAGGAATTTATATTTAGACATTCCACTGGAGACCAAGGCCAAGATCATCTACACTAGTGTACTCCCTATCACAATGGATGGGTGTGAAGCTGGACAGTGAAGAAAGCTGGCAGGAAGAAAATCATTGCATTTGAAAGATGATAGGAGAGCTTTGCAAGTAGCCTGGACTGACAGAAAGATGAGCAAGTGGGTTATTGATCTAATCAAGCCAGAGCTTTCCCTAGAAGCATAAATAACAAAACTGAGGCTGCCATACTTTGAGCACATCATGAAAAGGCAAAACTCCCTGGAGAAGATGGCCATGCTAGGGAAAGTTGAAGGCAGAAGAAGAAAAGGAAGACCAAATATGAGGTGGATAGACTCCATAAAGGAAGCCACAGCCTTGAATGTACAAGAGCTGGGCAGGAGTGTCATGGATAGAACATTTTGAAGGGCTTTCATAGTGTTGCCATAAGTTGGAGATGGCTTAATGGCATGTAACAGTTGCTACTACTGCTACTATTTAGCCTTTCAGGGTAAACTCCCACCTAGGTAGTTGCAAGTAAAGCAACACTGCCTTATTTAAAAAATTAGAAAACAACGAACATTAATCATGGCCCTGTGAAGGGAGGGAGCAGCCCAGGTAGAACAGGGGGTTTTGAGTTTTTCCTGCCTGTTTGCCTTTATTCCTCTTTCTACTGGGATCCTTCCTATAAGGGAGATAATGGTAAGTAAAAAAAAATGTTTCAGGATTAGAAATGTGTACTCATGCACATATGAGACATTTGCATGTAGAAAAATGTTATCTTTGAGCTGTGCTTTTCACGGTGGGAGAGAGTAAAGGAGGAGAGATGTAAGTAGTCCAGAAGTGGGTTGCATATGGAAAATCCACATTCAGATCCATGCTCTGTCATAGACTTATCAAGGTAGCTTTGGGCAAATGCCTTTCTCTCAGCTTAATGTTGTTTTCACAAAGTTATTATTTTATTGTTCATTACATTTCTACCTTTCTTCCCACAGCGGGTCTCAAAAGTGGCTTATACAAATACAGAAATTCTTAATGAACATAAAAATAAATATAAACTATAATGGGCACTATAGTACAAATAAAAATAAACCCCATAAAACTTAATCTAAAAGCAATTTAATATGATAAGTATATGCCTACAGTACACAAAAATATATCCCCAACCCTGCCTAGATGAATACCACAAAGCAGCCCACAACAATTGGGCCATAAGTAATATTCAAATTCCTGGAAAAATAAGTACATCATGAGATAGGAAATGAAATCCAAATAAAGAGGAAATTAAATCTAAATAAGGGGGGAGCATCCTCTGTTGAGATTCATTAAAAGTACAGCCTGTCATAAGAAATGTCATCCATGCAAACTAATAAAACTTGAGTTGATTGCCCAAAACTTTTGTATTTTTCTACAAGGGCATCATAAATATCTTAGGACATATTGGTCATAGGCCAACTGAACAGATTTATTGGAAATTTTGTGGAAATTGCCTTCTCAGTGACCAGTGACATGATCTTTTCCTCCTCATTGTTTCTATGTTTATGGCTGACAATTTATTCAGATGGAGGAAGCACTGCAATACGAATGAAAAAAACTGCACCTTTTAATGGTGAAACACATTTCATTTATCTTCTTGTTCAAGGTAAACTGCTGCACTGAAGTATTACAGAAACACTGAGTCTCTAAACTTTAGTAGGATCAAGAATTGCAAGAACAGTTTCTTAATAGGAAAAGAACAAAAGTAGGTATTCATTCAGTAGTACTAGTATGGAGTAGAGTTCATTCCTCCAGCTGTGATAAACTGAAAGGCTTGGTAGATTAGCCCTCTTTCTGGACCAATAAAGAAGTACAAAGACTGATGAGCCTTTGTTGACAGTGAATTGGTAGGGATCACTTTGCTCTGAACTACATTATATGGAACTTATTACCCTATAGGAGCTGGATATGCCAATATAAATTGGCACCAGAGAGTACTGCCAAAATAATGGGGATGAAGATGCTTCACATTGCTCACCTGCACCCCTCAGATAGGATATTGGTTTTAATTTTTGCAAGAGCAACACAAATAATTATTTCCTATTATTACAAGCTATTAACTCGCAGGAACTTGAAAATCCTTGGACTAGTTAGGCAGAAAAGCATTGTTATGAAATGATATGAACAATTTAACAATGATGTTTAACTGCAACTGAGTACAAAGAAGCAACGGATAGAAATAAATGTCATGTTTCTCATTAGCAGGAGAAAGCTGGTAGGACCAAACAAGATCTACATTAGCACATGGAGGTTATCTAGCCTATGAAGACCTAATCTTCCTTCTTTGGTTTAATAAAGTGTGCAACTGCCTTTGCATAAATATATATTCTGTTGAATGGTAGTATATATTAGTGTGATAGACTTTGGTGATAACCTTGTAACCAAGCTATTATTTTAAAAGCATCCACATTAGGTGCTTCTTTGCATTACTGCTGAAGACCCTAACTATGATTTGCTACTTCATTTCAGGTTCCCTTGAAGAGTCCTCCAAGAGTGGTATTGCAGACTCCACATGTATTGTGGAATATGGGAAAACTGTTGATGTTAGTTACCTACAATACCTTTGGGATGCTCAAGCTCTTATACTCCACTGCATGAAAGATTGCCAGGTTTGGTCTGCTCCATATGATGGTGAAAAGCCTGATCCATGTACATTTATTCAAACACTGGCAGAGGAAGATGGCAAAGACTTAGACCAGCCCATTATCCGGCTCCAGTACAGAACTCCAAATAATTGTAGTTCCCCTCAGATTACTTCTTTGGGGGAGAAGATGCAGCTGGAGCTGGAGTGGGATGATAGCTATGATACTGGCATTTCTCCTGGATCTGACTCTCCACAGCATGATAATGTAGGGATTGTGAAAACACAATGTCCTGTGGAGCCACCAAAGCACATTCAGGAGATGAAGAAAAATGCAATCATGTTGATCAAGGGGTCCTATATAGAGGAATCAGACTTTCAGGATGATGTTATGGTTTACAGGTTGTGTGCCCAAAAGGATGTGCAGGAAGTGGGCAGCCTAAAGGAAAAAGCTTTACAGTCAGAATCTCAAAGTGCAGATAATCCAAAGGTTTTCCCTGCCAATGGTCCACTTAATAGTTCCCAATCGGATTCAAATATGGAGCAGAGCAATGGGAAGTATTCAAATTTGGAAAATGACAATGGAAAAAATTCTGACCTGACCAAACAGACAACAACTGAAATCAACAAGACTGTTGAACCAACCACACAGTGTGACTTGGAACTGAAATCGACTTCCCCAGAACCAGATCACAATGCTAACATGAGGTTGCTGAGTCCAGAGAGTGAAGATTTTATTTCTCAATGTGATAACATCATTAAAGAATTGGATTCTAGCTCTACAGGTTTGGTAGAACTTAAATTGCTTATTCCTGATTCAGTCTCTCCTGTGGAAGAGGAGGAAGACTTTGAAATTTTTTCTGCTGATACTCCATCTGCAGAAAGTATGCCTTCACCCTTTGGATCAAAAGATATATGGTCCAGCAATCCTGCAAGGTTGCAGAATATTCCATTTACAGGTGGGATTTTTCAACTAATTAAACTTTTTAATACTGTCCTGGCTGGAGGAAAAAAACATACAAATAGGAAAGGTTCATTGCCTTATATTAACATTGAATAGTATCTCATGGTATGTTTAAGATTGTGACTATATTGTTTGGCTTGGATTTCAGAACTTTGACCATTTCAATTGCTTGGGATTTACATTTCCTGTACAGAAAATCTGCAACAGCAACATCATGTCAGGGGATGTTTCTATATATTTGAAGGGAAGGGGTAATATTGCTATTAGATCAGGTGCTACGAAAGAGCTAGTGAAGCAACTACAAATGGAAATCCTGTGTATTATTTGAAAATAAAGGTTAGAAGTCCTGTGCTAGCTGCTTTTGATTTTCACTTTTGAGCACTAGATGGCAGCTGTGTTGCCATTCATTATATACATCTGCCCCATTTTAAGTACATGTTGAGGCATCCTGCTCCCCAAATATGAAGTGTGCCTAGCATTATATTCCATCAGTTTGGTTCTAGTGTAGCATTTACCCATAGGGTTATGTAGCAGTAATAGCAAGGTACACTGAATTTTGGTTTAGCAATAGTGGTTGTTACTTGTGTATTTTTTGTAGCTATTGGAACATACTTTATTCTGAACATCTTATATCCTGGTATTCTAGGATACAATGATTAACTGTATTAGAAAAAATAAAAAACAAATAATATTTCCAAGAATAGTGGTAGTTGGAAGTGTCAAATATGTGCTTATAATGACAACCAAATATTTATTTATTTAAGCAAATGCTCGTTTTGTGTTACTCCTTAATTTAAAATAATGTTACATCAACACTTATCTGTTATAGCTGGATAATATAAACATGAGAGGAATTGTCCAGATAATATGGCAGGGGTAGGGGGGATGAAGAGCATGTGAATTGTGGCAATGTGTCAAATAGCTTCATCCATCATTTAAACTGGATTATGAGCATATTGCTATCAGATGTATTAATCTGGTCTAGAAACAGTTTTCATTCTGCTGTACAGTTGTATGACAATGCACAAGATAATTAGCTTAACACTTGGATTTCTTTCTGTAAGATTATATCATTGAAACCAAGTTTCCCTGTTAGGGGAATGCACAGATTATTCTCCCCAGAAGACACTGTGGATGTAAACAGATCTTTGTATGTGGCACTAATATTTTAGGTTTGTTGAGAGAAATAGCATCCTTTCTGTCTAATAAGGCATGCAAGGCAAGCCCCAATCCATTCATCCACCAACAATGACACAATCAGCATTTCAGTAATGGGAATGTAATGTGACAAATAAAACTTTTATTATGAATAGGACCCCAATTAGTTTTATGTCTGTGCTTGCATGGTGAGTTTTGTATAACATCATTAATTTTGATCCAATTAGTCTGTACTACTTGCTTAGCTTGTAAACCTCTACTTGTCACCTGAGAGTCTTCATGTAACAAGGTACAGTACTTGAAACTAGCTTAGTGGTGATAAGGCCATTTATATGTATCATGGTTAGGTCATCTGTGCAGTAAAAGCCCCTTTCCAGCCAAACAGTATATCAATTTGCAGAACAGTTCACTATTCAATTACCGTGCTTCTATATTTTTTTCTTAGTGTCTTTCACATGGTTTCCATTAGCAGTAACACCCATCATCACATTTATCTAAAAAGGAAGATGATGAAGAGATTGTTTTATATGTGTGTCTTTAAAAAAATGGAAGATCATGTCTTGCAAGAACATGACTATACTTTAGAAAAGGGTGCAAACAATCTGATTAGGTTGAACTTGGATTTGATTCATGGATTATGCATAGGGCAGCATGGCTATGTTACAACAGCAGTGGTGTGCTTCAGTACTTTTGTCTCTGTGACACTTTTTGTTTGTTTGCTTGTTTATTGAGTAACTAAAGTTAACTCTCAGTTGACTGTGGATTCTTACAAGGAACATGGAAGGCTGAATAACCTGATCCTAAGGATATTAATATTACCATAAGCATAGCAAGTGAAGCAAAAAAGTGCTCTGCTTGCCATAACAAACTGTCCTTTAGCAGACAATTAGCCAGCAAATTAAAGAAGAGACACTGTAGATACCTCCAAGCCAAACAAAATAGCATAAGACTGCCATAAGATGAGCAAAAACATGGGCATGGAAGTACCAGTGGGTTAGTGATAGCTGTGCCCTCAAGATGGAATTGAGGCCATTATATATGGAGCTATGCACTTTCTACTTTCCTCCCACTGCACTTAGCCAGGCTGGAATAGCAGCACATGAGATAGCAGCAAAGCATGGCAAGTTATAGATGGTCAGAAGGAACAGAAAGAGGTTTTCCCCTGCCTTTCTCTGAAACATGCTAGGAAAGGCCAGAGTAGCCCTTGGGAAATACAGTTTCCTAAAGAGCTACTTGATTTAATCTCCCCTCCCCCGCCGCGAAATTACTTTTGCCTAGGGCAACTGCTAACATGTGCCAAAGGAGAAAAAATGTGTGTGTGTGGAGGGAGAGGGAGGGCTTTCTTCCATTTGCTGAAGTCATGTGCCATAGCCATTCAATGATTGAGCTTCATTTGGGTCATTTGGTGGGTAAGAGGTGGGACAGAAGGGGGAGAAGTAGGTAAGGAGCTGGGAGGAAGAGGTTGAGGATTTAAGGCAGGAAATTTAGGGGGAGGGATTTAAAAAAATACAGTTCATTTCTGAATCAGCCTGCTGCAGGTTGTGGAGGGCAACAACCTTTTTTGTTAGATTCCAGTCTGTTTTGGTATACATGCCCCCTGGCTAACCAGAATTAACCCAACTTGCTAAATTGTCTGGTGTGCTTAGCATGTGATACACAACACAGCATCCTCCCTCACCTCTATCTTGAGCACATGAGAAATACCTGTCCCTTCTCCAGTCCTATGGTATTTTAACAATTAACTGTATCTTTGTATTTTTTACTCTGCAGGACCATTTATTAGTGTGGTATTATCAAAACTGGAAAACATGTTGGAAAACTCCTTACATGTGAATTTGCTGCTCATTGGTATCATTACTCATTTGGCCAGTTACCCACAACCTCTTCTCCGTTCTTTTCTGCTCAATACCAATATGGTATTTCAACCTAGTGTACGGTCATTGTACCAGGTACTTCATTATTGTCTAAGATCAATGTTGTTTTAAATATAGGAAGTAGTTAATAATTCTTCATACCCTTTAATGTATGTTTTAATCAACTGCATCAATGTACATGGTGTTCTGCAAAATAAGCAAAACAAAAACAAAAAAACCAACAACAAAAAACCGCTCTTTGCTGCAAAGAGTTTACAATCCCGATTTAGAGAGCCTTTGTGCTATTGAACTGGATAAAAATGTATTTGAATGTGATGATGATGATTCTTTAGACCCTAGAGAGAGGCAAGAGCATTACAGCATTAAAATGCCAGCTTTATGTTCAGTTTGTTGTTTTACATTTTGCCTATTTTAGAATAAACTCCTTAGAGCCTTACTCTGTGGTATTGGTATGAGAAAACTGGAGATCTCTCCATTTGTCTTTGTTGTTTTTAATTAAGTCTCATTAATGTGTGACAGTTTTAGAAGCCCCTGCTTTTTAAAAAAGAGATTTTGCAAATATTTCACCTTTAAGTTTTTATTTAGGTGTTGTAGAACAGTGCCTTAAAGTTGATGCATTAATAATGATGTGCAGATAATGGCAATTTGAGTGTCCTTAATGTGATTTTGAGAGCAAGAGATACAGTGCCTAGATAATTCAGTATATAACCTATGTGATAAAGGTTTATTGTTGGTATTGTTTTGGCAGGTCCTGGCATCTGTGAAAAACAAAATTGAGCAGTTTGCTTCTATTGAAAAGGATTTTCCTGGCCTTCTCCTGCAAGCGCAACAATACTTGCTTTTACGAGTGGACATGTCGGATATTCCTCCAGAGTCCTTGACCAAAGGCAAGTTCTTCATAGGATAACATATAACAATATGCTCTACCAACAGTTCCTGTTCTAACAAGATCTGAGTAAATGAAGAGGAAGCAAAGTATACACCAGTATGCAAACATATTCTTGATTGCTTTAATATGTTAGATAGAAAATTGGTGGCATTAAGTATTTATAAGACATCCCACTGATCCCCTTCTTTAAAGATCCCAAAGAATAGAAAATGTTTATCATGTGGTTATTTTGTGCTTTGTATTGGTGGTTCCTGATCGCTTAGTTGGGTGCATTATTCATTCAAGGTAGAGCTGGAAGGTGCATGGGAAAGGTAGGGGTCTTGGAAGCCTGAGATATCTTCTCACATCTTGTGGAAAATATGTGGCATGATATCAAGTCTGTTTACAGAGCTGTCCAATGATGAGAGTTGCCTTTAGCCCTGTGGTTGCTGTCTTTGCAAAATAGAGTAAAGCAAGGCTCTCCCAAAATTTTTATCTTGTTGGTAAAGATAAGATTAGATAAGATATTAAATATATAAACATCATAAGAAACTGCCCCATCCATGGTTGGATTATTTGTCCATCTGTTCCAAGAACTGAGGCTGTGGTATTTACCATCACCATTTAACTGGACATGTTGGGGATCGAACTTGGGACCTTTTGCATGTGCTGTATCAGACAGACATGTTCCTTACTCTCTATTATATGCTCCTGTTCCCTCAGGAAACTAAGGGCAACATACACTATTGTCTTACTTTATCTTTACAGAAACCCTTTGAGATTGAGTAGGTTGTCCCAATAAGTTTCTTGACTTAGCAACTTTTAGATCAGATGATGAAACCTTTCTCGACAAACAGCTTTTAACTATAATTTTCAACTCCTGAAGAAGATACCGCCTTTTTCTTCTCTACATGGCTTGCTTTATTTTTAGACTGACCATGTGACTGAGAGGAAACATTTATAGCAAGAAAAGGCTCTGCAGTTTTTGCATTGGTGTAAGAGATGAGCATGTGCAACATCTTGTGAATGTGTCATCTCAAGTGGAGTAGACTATGTTAAAAATAAGCCTAGCCATGTTCCCCTCAGGGTGAAGGAAAGAGATGTTGTATCTTATCATATGGAACAGCTTTCCCCCACTACAGCTGCCTTTTGAATATATTGCCACAGGTTCTAATGTCAGCTTTCACTGCAGCAACCAAGACACAAATAGGGTATTAAAACTAAAGCTCATGTGAGCACCTTCATGTTCTGCAAGTCACTTTCAACAGCTGCCTTTATAGAATCCTCAGACACCTACTTAAGTGTCTTAACTTTAAAGAAAATGGTTTGGGAGATTTTTGCACAAAAAATGTGTATTGGGAAACTCAAAGGAAATCATCCATGAGCACTTGTAACCAGTTTTCTTAAACAGGCCTTTAATTCCCTGAACAACTTTGTAAACTTTGGACTTTATAAAGGTCTTCTTGCACAACTATTAGTGTGATGACCAAGAAGATGTTGTCTATATGCTGCACTGGAATGTCACCTGTCAAAGATAACCTGCTTTTCTAAGCAATTTCAAAACGTGCTTAGTCGTTGGGCACATTTATTTATTTATTTAATCTCTTTTCACCCGCAGCCAGAGCTGTGCGGCGTGTGGTTATGGACTGTTAGGAGCATTTATTAAATAGAAGTTGTAGAAGTACAAGTAGCACAGTTTTCCTATTCCTATGTCCGTAATGGGCTTACCATTCTAATTCAAGCTGCAAACATAGAATTGGATTAGAATGCAGCTTTTCTTGCCTGTGGCGCTGAGTGAAAGAGCCCCAAGGTGATTGAAAAGATGGGAAGCAATAGTACAGCGATCACACAGCAGTGTGGTAGCTGTTGTGCTGTTGGCATTGCACATGATGAGAGGAACAAAAGCAGCAGCAATGCCCCCACCCTGTTCTCAGCAGAGGTGCACAAATTCCCTCCAACTTCCCTGCCTTCTTAACCTGCTGCCTTCAAGATACTTCGGACTAAAACGTCTATCAGCCTGCTTGGAAGATGTAGATGGATATCTGAACGTCACCAGCTTGGAGAAGACTGTACCACTCAAACAAATGCATGTCCCCATGCTCCCATAGCAACCCTTGCTACCGCAGGAGCTCTGCAGGGACTTCCAACTGAAAAATGTGGAACAACAAGCACTAAAGTTGCTCCAAGAGTGCTTAATTAAAACAGGAAAGGGGACTTGGACAGAATCTGTGCACTTATCTATTTTCAAGCTCTTGGAGTTGAGAGGAAGAAGGAGGACTAGAACTATGGATAGCAGTACCAGTAATCAAGTAAGAGGCAATTTGTCAAGCTGATAATGCCTAGAAGGGCAGGCAAAAGCTTAGAGAGGAAGAAAGTGTTGCTAAATTTTCCAGAAGGAGAGCAAGAAGCAGAGATAAAATCTACCTCCTTTCCCTTGACCCAACTACTTGGGAGACTGGTGATGACAGTAGTCCCAGATCTGTGTAGGCGCACTCTTTGTCTTAAACAGGAATAGAGAAATGTGCCTGCTATCACTTTCTACTCCCCCTTTCTCATTGCTGCATTTCGTGCTCCACAGCCCAGAGGCAAAGACTTAGTTAACCTGCATCCCTGTTATGTTTGGGGCATCTGAGTCCCATTCACTCAGCTGAGCTTCAGGAGCAGACCTCTGCTCTAGTGTCCAGACTAAACAGTGCCACTGACTGCTGTCTCCAAATTATTCAGAATGGTGAAATCCTAAGCTAACTATAAAGAAGTCCACTGTGGATAGCTCTGAGTTATATTTTTATTTTCAAAGAAAAGAAAGTACATAACATTATGAAAGGGGTGGAAGAAATGAATGAGTATTTCTCCCCACCGTTTATGTATGTTGGTTGGTTATAGGTTAAGGTTTATATTAGTGCAAATGCAGGTAACTTGTCATGCAGTATGTAATTTCTGTAAGATGCAGTGATGCAGCTTTTAGACAAACTCATGTAGCAGTAAGTTTGTTAGCTTCCATGACTACAAAATAGCTAAATAGAAGCAACACCTTCAGAGGCAATATACTGGATCATCTGGAAAAGAGTGTAGTCATTTAGATGTTATGTGAATGCAGGTGTTGAGAAAGAATCTTCTGGACAACACTGCAAATGCATTCCTGGGATTGCAGTCAGTGTTCTGAATTCAGAATTGATGTCCTGCACCCAGAAGCCCTTGTTAATCACTGTATTGTTGGACCATTCGTATATAGCTGTTGTGGAGATGAGTTGCCATTAGAAGCTATGTTAGAAATGATGGGTAATGTGTAGAACCTTGCGAGAACACTAACTATAGTGACAAATTGCTGGATTGTGTAAAAAGTCACTCTTATTTTTCAGAGCAAGCCTGTTGTCTTTGTTTGATTTAATGTGATGCTTTTCAGCAGTGTTGTGAAATGGGAGTTTACATCTCTCATTCTATTTAAGTTCTATTTTAATCTAGCTGCATGTCTAATAGTCTTATTGACATCCTCTAATATTAGGGGGCCTGCAAAGCCATCACCTCCTACTTAATGTGTTCTTAGCATATCAAGAGTATATGCAGTAACTAAGATGTTTATCAGAGCTTATTGGAATTGAAAGCTGTAGTCCAAAAGCCCTTCCTGTGGGGCATGGTAACTGTCCTATAGATTTTGAGAGACAGCTTGATGTATAAATGCTGGGATCCAGTGAATAACTTAGGTTCATGTTAGTGGCTTGTGCTATGGTACCCTAGCGGATATTACTGAAACTGCTGACTTGCATAACATATCATGATTTTGAAGCATGCCTCATTTTCAAAAGTAGTTTTCCTGGGTCATCATGTTAGAGGGGGAACAAGTCTAATGGTCCTTTTGGGAAATGGAATTAGTTTTATGGCTCTTTGAATCTTAGCACTGTTTTATGTGTCTCCCAAGGACTTACCATGAAATCTTTGCCTATCATATTCTTAACCTTGCTTCATCTATGTTCAAAATACATATTCATGCTGTGAGAGTGCTCTGAGGTCCTGTATTGGGGTTGGACCTGATTTTCTTATTGGCCCTTCCAGCAATAATACTTTGTGATTCTCTGATCAAGTCCCAATATTCAGTAAATATTTATTCATGAAGTTTTGATTTATTTCTGTTTTAAAATACATTCTAGTTCTTTTTCAGACCTTCTTTCCTACATCCCCTGCCACATTTTTAGGCTTGATCATTGCCTAATTCTTCTGTATTGAGCACTTTTTGTTCACTATGAAGCACAGACTCTACAGTTTAGTCCAGGAAACAATCCACTAAGGGGAACTAGCTATAATGGTTGGACATGCGGTTTTTGGTGTGGTGTGGTTTTTACAGGGTGACATTTTTCATGAAGTATCATAATTTCATGGTTGGTTTTAAATTGTTCTTGTCCACGATGGATTGTTCTGTCATTGGAACCCAGCAGGCAACCCCATTTAAAAGAGGTGGTAGTCCGACCAGTCCTAAAGAAGGCATCCCTGGATCCAGAGTTGGCTGCCAATTATAGACCAGTGGCCAACATCCCGTTCCTGGGCAAGCTGCTAGAGCGGGTGGTGGCGGGACAACTCCAAGCATTCTTGGATGAAACTGATTATCTGGACCCATTTCAGTCCGGCTTCAGACCCGGGTATGGCACTGAATCTGCCTTGGTCGCCCTGTACGATGACCTGTGCAGGGACAGAGACAGGGGGAGTGCGTCCCTGTTAGTTCTCCTGGACCTCTCAGCACCTTTCGATACCATCGACCATGGTATCCTTCTGAATAGGCTAGCGGGATTGGGAGTTGGAGGCACCGCGTGGTGGTGGTTCCACTCCTATCTCAACGGCCGATTTCAGAAGGTGGTGTTGGGGGACTATGGCTCTGCGCCATGGCAGTTATGCCATGGAGTTCCGCAGGGGTCCATTTTGTCCCCCCTTGCTATTCAACATCTACATGAAACCGCTGGGAGAGGTCATCAGGAGGTGTGGGCTGCGGAATCATCAGTACGCTGATGATACCCAGCTCTACCTCTCGTTTTCCACCAATCCAGTAGCTGTGCTGAACTGGTGCCTGGCCGAGGTAATGGGCTGGATGAGGGCCAATAAACTGAAGCTCAATCCAGACAAGACGGAGGTCCTGTTGGTGGGTGGTTCGGGCCTCGGGATGGGGGACTTGGGCCTTGTCCTAAATGTGGTTGCACTCCCTCTGAGGGACAGGGTTCGCAGCTTGGGAGTGCTCCTCGACCCTGAGCTGTCTTTAGAAGCTCAGGTGACGGCGGTGGCAAGGAGCGCTTTCCTTCAGCTTCAGCTGATCCATCAGCTGCGTCCCTTCCTGGAGAACGATTGCCTGGCGACAGTGACACACGTGTTGGTAACTTCCCGATTAGATTTCTGCAACGCGCTCTACGTGGGGCTACCCTTGAAGATGGTCCGGATACTTCAATTGGTGCAGAATAGAGCTGCCAGGCTGCTGACGGGGACTGGGCGTTGTTCTCATATAACCCCAGTTCTCCGTCAGCTGCACTGGCTCCTGATTGAAGTCCGGGCCCAATTCAAGGTGTTGGTTATGACCTATAAAGCCCTCAATGGCTTGGGTCCTGGGTATCTGAAGGAACGCTTGTGTCCATATATGCCTTCCTGCCCCTTGAGATCAGCAACAGATGCCCTTCTCCGGGAACCCTCTGTGAATGATATTAGGAGGGTGAGTACCCGGAGGAGGGCCTTCTCTGCGGTGGTGCCCCACCTATGGAATGCGCTCCCCAGAGAGGTCTGCCTGGCGCTGTTGTTATTTGTTTTTTGGCGCCAGGCTAAGACCTTTTTATTTAAAACTTATTTTAAGTGTTAATTTATTGGCTATTTGTAGGATTTTAAAATTTTTAAGCTGAGATGCACCGGGTTTTAATATTTTTATTGTATAACTTTGTTTTTGTTGTAAGCCGCGCCGAGGCTTTGTTGCGATGGGGGTGTCATAAAAATGTTTTAAATAAATAAATAAAATTATGCATTGTCAGGAGTGACTATAAAGTTATATGGCAAGTATGACAAAATATGCTGCTCCTTGCTTTTGTGATGTCACTGCTGACTGCCCTTCCAATGGTACCAACATGACACTTCAGAAGGACTGGAACTCATTCCTTGGCCTTTTATTTTTTATTTTTCAGTGCCTCAAGATCTGCAACTGGAAAAGAGCTTTTTAATAAACACACACACACACACACACACACACACACACACACACACACTTTCAGCTCTTTCATAACTGTACATTTAACAGCTGTTCTGCTGTTGCATGAGTGCAGTCTTGCCTTCTCAGTTTTTTCAACTTATTTTTATTGGAAGTTTCAACAAAACTAACAAAAAAAGAGGACAAAATGATGCAACTACATGGATTTGAATATGTTAATTACATATAACCTCTAACAAAGGCAAACCAAATATCCATTCAAGAGTGGCATCAATATGCCAACTAGTCAAATGTTGAAAGTGTTGTTAGGTTCTTTGCATTGCAGGAATTGAGCAATGCTGTAATGTTAGGCTTTTAGTGCGTATTAACTTCCAAAAAGCAAGTAGATACTGGAAGTCCCTGAGTTACAAATGTATGAAGTATGAAGAACCTGTACTTACAAATGAACTGCCGTAAAGTCTGTTGATTTTTAAATATTAACTGCAGAAAATCATCATCACCATAGAGAGAGACAAAGTGACAAGGGAGAGAGGGAGGCCTCCAAAGCATTCTTTCCTGCTCTGTCCAGAGAGGGAAATCTCTCCAGCATTTCTTTGTTGCAAAGAGAAGGCATCAGCAAGTTTGGACAGGGGGTGGGTGCAGCTGGAGATATTTACAGTTTTTCCACTTTCGTGGGGGTCCTGCATCCCTAATCCCTGTGTATGTGGAGAGCCAACTATACTTGATCTGACTTGTATACAAATTTGACTGAAAGATGAATTTCTATTTTCTCAGGAATGGAACTTATTTGTAACTTGGGGACTGCCTGTAATTTAAAGAACATCTGTCATTCTTAAAGAGCTTTCTAATACAAAGGGTTTTTCCCCTGTATAATCTCCCCGAAAGGGTAAACTATTGGAAATTACCACACTATATGATTAAAGGCGGTATTATCAGTACTGCAATGCCAGCAGCTTGTAGATTCGGACAAATTCTTATAAAAGAGATGTTGAAGTGTTCAATAGACACAAAACACAAGGTTTTGTTAATAAGATGTCATGTCTGAATCTAGCACTGTTTCTGTAGGGTGATTTATTTTTCATGAATCTGCTGCCCTGAGAACCAATGGCTCTCAGAGTTCTTCTTGTGCATAACAGATTACTGTATCATCTGAATGAACAGGGTGACTTTATCATGGGTTGTCAGGTATGGCTATTGAGCCACTTGGAAAGTGAACAAACCCCCCTGCTGCTCACTGATCTTGCCAGTGATTGACTTTCCATTAATGATGAAACAGAATAGAAGGAGCACTGCTCTTTCCTTGGCTATTTTTTGAGGGGGGGGGGGGTTGCCTCAAACATGTGGAAATGGGAATAATTGTTATTCTTGTTCATCATTTGCAAGTATGCACTTAGAGCTCTCTGGCTGTTTCATATGTGCAGCATTGTCTAGTCAGTTAAACAATGAACTGACACTTCTTAGCATCCTTCACCTATTCGAATTTCTCCAAGTCTCTAGCTATTCCAGAAAGAGGCAATAGTAATTACTCATTTTTTCAGTTTTTGGAGCACTGCTGTGGTAATCTGACAGTTTTTAAAAACTGCAGAAATGTATGCAAATTTAATGGATGGGAAATCAATGGGGTAGAGATTTGCACACCTGTATTATCTGCTCTGTTTCTGCAGGTTGCAAATTCCCTTGCTCCATTTCCTTCTTAACCTTTGCATTATGGGTTTTTATAGAACTGTTAGGGAAGCACAGTGATCACAGCAGTAAGTACTCCAGAAAGCATAGGTGAGTAAATTCCTTTTTTTTCTGGAATAGCTGAAGATTTAGGGAAGTGTTGAAAAGGTGGAGGGTAAGATTAAGAATTGTCAATTCAGCTCTTAAAATTGAGAGGATTACATTTTGGGGGCACTGCTTTTGTCATTTCTCTTCCCCCCACACCCTTTCAGAGCGACCTTTCAGTTGACTGCTAGCTATTGGACCCCAGCAACTATGCAAAGGCTAGCCTACAAACAGTTTTTCCTTGTCCTGAAACTAAAAAATTTACCAGGTGAGTTGGTAAAAATGTGCCAACTCTGACTCCTAAGAAATTTAAGTTGTGATATAAATAATACGTTAAAATTTCCTGTTTCACATATAATTTGATTAACTCATTTTTCAGTTTATATTTTCAGGATATATTTTAATTTCATAATTAGTGAAAGTGGTGCCATATAAAAATCACAATGGCAAAAAAGCATCAACCAAGTTAGCTGTTTTTGAACACTTTATGCTAGTAACAGAGGGGAAATATTTTATGTGTCAATGTATTATAGAAGATGATGATTATGGAAAAATGTATTGCAAACATTAGTAGTCTAGCTTTAGCCTTTAGACCCAAACTTTAAATGGTAAAGGTTCCAAAGGCAGCCTGCTGATTCACATCGGCAGTGATGAAATGCTTTGTAGGTTGAGTGCTTTCAATCAATATAGGAAATGCATAATTAGTGTATTTCCTGTACTGATACATAAATAAATGAGTTAGAATCAGGGTCAGAGTTGGAGGGTTTATGTACTGACTCACAACTCTGGTGACTACACTTATGGGACAGCCATGACAATGCACTTGCATAGTTTACTATTAGTTTAGTATAAGCAGCATGTGGAAAAACAGATGCACATGGAAACACCTGGAAGCTGTAAAGATTTTTACCTATACTAGTCTTCTCCAATCTGTTGTTCTCATAATGTTTTGAACTACAACTCCCAGCATTCCATGCTGGCTGGAACTGCTGGGAGTTGAAATTGAAAACATCTGGAGAACAGCAAATTGAAGAAGGTGTTCACAACTGGTGGACTGGCACTTGTGGACTGTGTTTACACTTTCACATTGTCTACATTTGTTAAAGCAAGGAGCAAAACTCCAGATACTTCATTTTGGTAAGTCACTCACTTTCAGCATTAGTTTTCTATTGGTAAAATGAGAATACTCATGACCTAACCTTTCTATGATGTTTGTGGGAACCTTAAAGTGCTTTGGATGCTTAAATATGCTGTAAAATGACTTAATGTTTCAAGGCCATGTCTGGATAAATACATTTGTAAATTGTTGGTGGAATATTGGAACCCCAGGAATTCTATGTAATATTCTCCTTTGTGTAATTATCTAGGTTTGATTCTATGTAATATTCTCCTTTGTGGAATTATCTAGGTTTATGTGTAATTCAGCACAAAATCGATCAGTTTTCTCTTTTGGGTTTCAGACCAGACACAGCACAACAATGTTGCAGGGAAAGGCAGGAACCTTTCAGAAACTTCCCAAGCCATCCTGCAGCCTTTCTTCGGGAGTAAGGCAAAGAAAGGAGCCGCTCTTCCCAGTGTTCCCCTGCATATCCGGAACGCCATCCTTGCAGCTGCCCTCTTTCCAGAATTTCTCAAGGAGCTGGCAGCTCTCGCACAGGAACATTCCATTCTGTGTTACAAAGTATTTGGTGATTTTGAGGATTATTATTAATTTTAGCATGTTTAAAGACATTTGATTAGAAAGTAAAAGATTTTATATTCCTGGTAATACTTGATTTGAGGGAAATTGTTACATCTTTATGTTGGGCCTTATTTCCAGCTGTGCACCATATGAATTTTATGAAATGCCTCTTTATTGTACCTAATCCTTTTACTTACCTCAATTTTCCTCTTTAAACAGCACAGTAGACACTTTGGGTAAAAAAGGCACAATTGTGTAAATAGCTACAAGGTAGCTTGGGAAATGTTGAGAGTTGTAGTACTTTTTATGTCTAAACATGCATAGGATTGTACCCTAAGAGAATAGGGGCAACAGGACAAATCCAATAAGCCTTTTATGTAAATTACTCTTTAGGTATCTATTGAATGAGGAGCTAACAATCCTTCCCTTAAGTTCTGCTTTACCAATGGCTAGAGTTGTGAATCCAAATGTATTCAACATATACGCTTGTGACTTGATGAAAGCAGGTGCTGTGCTGAGTACATACCATGTTGCCTTATGTTGTGGACAAATCTGACACTCAGCTGTTGGCTCCTTTGAAGTTTAGATGAAATGAATAAATGGATGTTGAGTGCAGACTGTAGGGAGATTTTCTCTTCCATTTCTCAGCATTCTTGAAAATAGATTGCTACCTAAACACTCAAGCCTTATTTTAGTAAGATTTGCACATGACAAGATATTTCTATGCAAACTGTAACTTTTTTTGAGAACATCTTTGTATACTTTTATTGATAAGCTGAAGACAAATATTCAAGGAAATATTTTAGTAGTGTTAAAGGTTATCTTCTTTGAAAGTTGTTACTATTTTATAAGGTTTTTTTTTTCAGGTGGAAAAGATACCCTGCCTCTGTAAGCTGTATTTCTAGTTGTTTAAATGTTCATGAAAAGGCTTTGTGGTACTTGTAAACACTGGCTATTTATTTATTATATAAGTGGACTTGTCCTAATATTGCACTTTTGAGGGATGGCACGAATGTATTTCTCACTAGTAATAGAGAAGAGGATGTTGCCTGGGATACATACACTGGAACCTGTTGCAGTTGGTATCCAATTTCTTAAGAACATTTTCTTCTGTGAGTAATGAGGCTCATTAGAACAGGTCGGAACATGATGAATTGGTGCATTACAGATGCTTTTCAGCTGTTGCTAGTAAAAATAATTGTTCTTCCAGTGCTGAAGTTGGCTTTCTGTAACCAATGGCTGAGTACTTGAAAGCCTTCATTTGCTTTTACAGTAGGTGAAAATAAGAAACTACTCTAAAACCAATGGAAACAGGATATAAAGAGTGGGCTTGGAAGCAGTTGGTTTTGTTTCTGTTTGTTTACTCCATATAGAAGTACTAATTGTAGGAGGAGAGAGGATCTATCTTTGACAATAAAACATGGCACTGACTTTCTGAAGCCTCTCTTGGGCAGATTGCCTCAAGCTTGCCACAGAAAGGTGCACCATTCTTTTGAAACCATGAGTGGAACTGCTAATTCTCAGTTCTTTGTTTCACTGGTTTGTCCTGATGTGGTCTCTGCCTGTTTACCTCTGCTATAGGCAGAATTAGGATCTTGCAGGCCACAAGAAAATAAAAGGAACGGTGACTAGTTTCCTTTATTTTAACTAAACATTGAAAGTAGTAGACAATTCCAGAAAGGACCTGACAATCCTATCTTTAGCCTGTTCTCCTCTCAGCCCATTAGCCTGTATATTAATAGGATACTTGAGTTCTTTAAGATGCAGCCTGCTACATTTAGGTAGGAGAAAAATCCTACAAATCCCACCCTGATCCTGCTCACATGGCTGCCAAGGGGACACTGGGAATTGTAGAACATTTTTTGTCTGAATATGCATAGGATGACACCTTTAGCCTTAGTAAATATATCCAGTTACTCATAATTCTAGCCCTGTTACCCAGTCCATGGGAAGGGATCCATCCTTCATACATTTGTGCACATAACTGCAGCAGATTTCAGTGTCAGCAGCCACTGTGTTATCTTTTTCTGGTTTAAACTTAAGGTAGGTGAAGGTTTTCTTTAAAATGCAGACTTTGTAATGGCAGGGTTGGGGTGTGTGTGTGTTAACCACAGTATATGTAAATGACTGGAAATGTGTTACATGTAATAGAAGAATCATGCTGCAAAGTTTATTGTATTATTAAAAAGCATTACCTTTTAAAAACCAACCAAGCAGCTGTGTTATTATGTTATCGCTGTATGTGTTTTTGATCTGCTTCTTGTTCAAATGGAGTAATCACACAATTTTTAGGCTTGTTTCAGGGCTTTAGATGTTTGTTTTGTTGAATAGAATCATAGACTATTCTACTGTTTCAGGAACTGAGGTACTCTTACTTCCCACTGTGTTGTCCTTCTGACAGTTGTCCTTCCGACACTGATTCTGCTCAGCTTTTGTGTGAGCCTTAACTAAAGAATAGTTCCACTCCTCATGAATCAGTAAAATGCAGGTGCAAGTTTGAGCAAGCCTAGATGGATCAAGGTCCCAGGTACAGTTGCTGACTTCTTCAGATAGCAGTGGGAATTGACCCTATTTGAACTTAGGGAACTGCTGCCAGTCAGTGACTGTTCACATGGAAAGGTAAGCTGCCAGTTCTGGAAAATCCTGATGTATTATGAACAGACTGCCTATTTGTACACATAACCTATCTGTTCTTGATTTCTTTGTTCCCTGTAGTGTGATCACTAAACAAACAAGGAAGGGTTTGCTTAGCATGTTGCCCAGAGGGATCTCCTTGTTTGTGGTTCCTTTGTCAAGTCAGTAACTGTAAACCAAGAATGAACCCTAACACTGATTCTGGCTGCAGTCCAAGAGGCATCTGCCCCCCCCCCCACCAGTTTGGGCAATACACTAAACAAACCAGTGTTAATTTTTGCAGTGGTCACATTGGTGGGGAGTCACAAAGCAGGAGCAAATGGGTTGTCAGTTCCAACAAACATGTTCATTCATGACAAGACAGCTATGGCTTATCAGTGCATGGAGACTTAGCCATTCACTTCCGGAAGGAGAAGCTCAGCTTGCTTTTGTTTATATACTTTAGATACATATCCTACTTTTCTACTATAAGCATTCAAATCCGCTTCAGATGTGAAGTTATTTCTCCTGATAGCTGAGGATGATGACTGAAGCTTCTTTTTAATAGAATTAAGCCATAGGGCTGTTTGCACTGCTCATATGATTGCAATGGCCATTTCCCAAGTAAACAAAGGTTGTCACATTGGCCATTTTCAGAAGCATTAAAATTCCTGGGTGAGAAGTAGGATCTGGCTAGCATTTATGAAGTTCAATTATGACATGATAATTCTACTATATTATTTGAACTGTATTCACAGTTTGTGTTTGTGGGTGACTTGATTTAATAAGCAATTTACCAGGTTGCATTTACTAGAGTTGTTATGTTGTGCCTCTTATGTAGGCCATTTGTAAAGTTAAGAGTCCCACTGAGAGCAGAGAGGAAGGTCTGTCTGTCTGTCCATGTAGCTATCTTTGACAATATAATTTGAAGAACAGAGTGCTCTCAGGGATTTTCATAGTATTAGCAATTTGAAGACCACAGAATTTTGTTATTTAAAAAAGTAAAATTAACCACAAAATCCTGGTAGGGAGATTGTTTTTTAGCCATGGGAATGCAAAATACAAGATGACTTTGCTATTCTGGTTTTTGCTTTACATGTCAGAACACAAACCCTGTGAAAACTCCCCTGCAATCGAGTGCTGCAGTGTTCTGGTGTAATTACCCGAGCCATGATTATAGCACTAATTCAAGCTGTAGTGTTGTAATTATTCCTATATAAATGCCATCTCAGGGAAAGTGAAAATTGCATCTTAGTTAATGTGGCTTTGGATTGCTTTGGATTGCTTTGCATAAGTAAGCTATTTGGGATAATTCAGTGATGGGTACCAACCCAAAAAGACATTTAAAAAGCAAGCTAGCCCTGAGATACTGCTTCAGCAGTAATAGTTAACAACTTTCCCTAACAAAGTCAACTCAGATAAAGCATTTTACTGATTATCAGTCAGCTAGATCTGGTGTGTGTTTCAGCTAAGTTTGCGCATCCACAAACTGATGTGAGGTCTTTGAGTTCAGGCTATGTCTGAGTTAGCATATCAAATATCTAATAACTAATATTCAGGAACTCCACAGTTTACTTGATGCATCTCATGGAAAAGGTTATTTATTCATTTATGTATTTAAAACATTTGTATGCTGCCCAGTTGTGCCACAACACCTCTGGGTGGCTCACAACAGGTTCTTGCCTTGATCCTCTGGGGGGTATGCAACAAATGCCTTAAGAATATTAGTATTTCTTGTAGAATACATTTTTTAAAATGTAAATTGCAAGATGCTAAAAAACTGCATTAAGCCCAGGAAACTGTCAACTGTTCATACTGGCCTAACACTCAGTTTTCTCCCTGCTATGGCTAGAAAGGGAGATTTTACTTGTTATGACAAAAACAGACAACATGTTACAAGATCCCTTAGTAAGTAAAATTATGTTTTCTCTCAGATTTTGGACCCAAACTGGTGCTTGCTTGTGTGTAATTTAAATAATTCCTCTCTCTTCAACGTGAAATTGTATGGCCCAGAACCCACTGTTGCCTAGTAGCTGCCAAAACTTGGGTGGTTTTACTTAGACTAACTTTATATACAATGTCTCCAGGAGCTTAATGCAAGAGATGCTATTATACTATCCCAAATTGGGCATTTATTAATAAGTTTAGGCATTCATAACTAATTTGTGGAAAAATTGGTTATAAGCTGAGGTCAGTAGAATGCCTGTGCTAAAGTAAGGTCTCATGGGTCCATGAAGCTCCTCTGCAAATTAATATCCAGTTTGCAAACAATATCCACTATACACACATTGTGTTTCGTAAATATATATATAAGGAGGAGTTCATCAGTAGATAGTGTGATACTCCTTATTGATGCTGCTTATAAAAGGAAGCCTTGATCATAGTCATCTTATTTTTCGTCTATAGCATTTTAAATTTCTAAGGTGCTTCCTGCATTTGCAAAATGACTGGTGATGGGATGCAGTATAATCTAGCTTCTGCTGCACCAAAACTGTCAACATATCTAGCTATCTGTGCTGCATTTTGCAGCTTTTATTTCGTTCCTTTTAGTGACAACTCTTTGAGATAGGGTCAACACAAGAAAGAACTACTTGCTATATTTCCAAATAAATTTATGGAACTCATTGCCACAGGTGGCATGATCACCATAAGAATTAATAGCATTAAAATGAAATTGATAATTGGATTGCAATTAACCTCCATTAAAAGCAGATAGCATTCAGCAGGCACTAGATTGCAGCCACATTACTATTCGCAATATCTGTTTTAATAGAAGCTGAATTGTAGAGAGAAAATGGTCTGAGCACTATCTTGAGTGCAGTGTGACATAGTGGTTTCTAAATAGGACTATAGCCCAAGTCAATGCTATGCATTACCCACTCAACCATACAATAAGGTGTAGAGATGTACTGCATAATGACTGAAATTAGTATATCTAAAATCAGATGTCCTTAGTTCATCCATTCTGAGAACTTTTAAAAGATTAGTACGCTGTTTTTTTTCTAAACCAAAAGAGCTTATATAAAACACATCCTAGGAGGAGGATCCACAAAGTTGATTGTATGAGTAATAAAGTGGCATCTTTCCAGCCATGTGTGTCGCACCCAGTGTTGTTCTGTATAGGAATCTACGTGTAATTCAGGGGTCTCAAACTCGCGGCCGCAGGCCAATTGCCGGGACGGGTGGGGCATGGGGGAGGGGCCCTGCGGCCTTCAAAGCACCGGCAGCACCTGGGCCGGCCGCGGGATGAGCGGCCCACCACCACCGCGGTGGTGGAATACTTGATGCGGCCCAGCCTCACCCAGACTCTACTTGCAGCGGCCCCCAGGTAAGTTGAGTTTGAGACCCCTGGTGTAATTGGTCTGACAAAATTCTCTGTGCAGTGGAAATGGAGCATTTCACTGTTCTTTGGTTAAGATTCTCTGACAATTTGGTTCAAGGTAGGATGAAAAAGAAAATTCTTCTCACAGCATCATAGCCATGTATCTGCCATCTTGTAACTGCATTTTGTTCACTTTTCCTAGGTGCAGAATTGGGCATTTGTTCCTACTGAATTTCACTCTGTTGTTTTCAGCTCAATGCTTTGGTCTATCAAGGTAACTTTGAATTTGTTTGTATCTTCCAAGGTATTAACTATCGCACCCAATTTTGTGTCTTCTGCATAAGCATTCTTTGCATGTCTCCATCCTAGTCATTAATAGAAAAGTTGAAAAGCACTGGCCTAGGAGTGAGCCCTGTGGTATCCCACTTTTTACCTCTCCCCAGTCTGAGAAGGTGCCATTGAGAAGCCCTCTCTGAATCTGATTCTGTAGATCCAACTATAGATTCACCTGATAGTTGTTCCATCTAGCCCACTTTTAGCTAGTTTCTTGATCAGAATGTCATGGGACACTTTGTCAAAGGCTTTTCTGAAATCAAGATATATTATGCCCACAGCATTCCCACAGATAAAATCAGAGGCTTTTACAACAGTGCAGGTTAGTTCCATGGTGCTGACATGGCCTTCCCACTGATCCCCTGCCAAATAAGGTGAGAGAGAAAAGTTAAGTTACTAAAGTGCCTCCGTCTAGATGTTCAAGGTTAATTGAAGAGTCTATGATGTCTGATCTAAGTGGTCGAGCACAATCAGCAGTTTTTGTTAGTATCTGAAGGAGAATCATCCATTACTGCCATCTCAGTGCAATAGCCAGGCTGAGCCTGCTGGGAGAAGGTTGCATAAGGATGCTTTATTCAAGCATGACTGGAATTTATTCAGCTATCATACATGCTTTTCTAAAAAGGGGAGGTAGAATTCTGGTTTTTAACTGAGAATTACTTCGCCAGTTATAGATCTGTATTCAATATCTTTCTGAGGGAAGCTATCTTCATGTTGTATTTCAAAAGGATGAGTTCTACCATTGTTAAAGTTAGTATTGATCCAGCATCCTCACAAGAAAAAGAACCCAGCACTTATTTTCCCCAAGAATGCTTAGAGTTGCCTTGCAATGCGCCTTGACAAAAGTCTACCACTCGACCCAACCAGACATGATACATGCATCCCTCGTAGCCCGGTTCAGAACCACACATTGAACTGCAAATCAATTTTAGCGGGTGTAACGTGGTTGCCTGCAACACCCTTGGCATAAGTACTGTAGGTACTGCAAGGGTGAAGTTCGTACAGGCTGCACCCTCGATGCTTATAAGCATCTTATGCAGGGTGGGGGAAGCAGCAGAGGCCATCTTTGCCTTGCTACCCCACTGCCCTGCATTTTTGTTAGATGGGCTTTTTGCCCATTAGTGAAAAGGTTTCAGAGGGGCATGGAGGAAGTCTGGATGAGGCTCAGGCTAGCTTGTATTCTTTCTTCTCCAGTCTCCTCTTGCTGCCAACTAAAATATCCACTTTGACTCCTCTCCAGCATTGCATTCCTGACCTGAGAGAGGCAATAATCCATTCTGCAGCAGCTGTGAGTGGGAGGGGATGGCACTCCAATTTCTACTTTTGAGGTCAGGGCACTTTCTCTGATGTTGAAGCTGGCAATCTGACCTAGGATGTTGCCTAAGGGCCTTAGGATTGTTCCCTCAGTGAGTTAAGCAAAGAAGATCCATATAATGAGGTAAGTAACCTTTACAGGAGTTAGAATCACTACTAGAAACCAGGCCATCAGCTTTTCTAGTAATGTAGGAACTCTCTGGCACTTGTGAAATAGCCTTAGAAACAAGCTTTGTTAGCAAGCAATCATTTCTTTACATAAAGGTTTGACAGTAATTAATTTTCAGCTGTTTTAACTAGGAATAGTGCTTTGGCTGCACAGAGTTGCATTAAAAATGGTAATTCAAACACTAACGTTTAGGAAACAAGTCCATAGTGCAGTTGTATGCTTGGCGTATTCACTGTCATGTTTGGCATGTACTAAGGAATATGGAGTCAAAACTGTAGTAATTGCTGTTATGAATTACTCACTAAACCCTAATTCAGCTCTATTTACCTTCAGCCGGTGGGAATGTGCAGCCAGCCTTCTATCTTAATCATCCATCAAACACAGAAGGCTGCTTCTGTACATGTTGGCAATTTAGGCAAAGATACAGAAAGCCCAAAACATCACCACTGGAAACAATATAAAATACCTAAGGTGAAGATTTGGTCTTCTATAGAACACAGAGGTGCCTTAATTTCTTACATTCTTAAATACAAAAGAAATCAGTGTAGGTTTCTTTAATTTTTTAGCACCTGTAATGCTCTCTCTCTCATTTGGGTGTCACATTTTTTGCATACTTTCCAATTGTAACTTGCACTCCATAGATGTCTTCTTACAACTTTCCAAGTACAGTGCAGATGCTGAAAAACAATAGTTACATAGTAGAAACCATATACTATCTGTTAGTTTAATTGAAATGCAATCTATTTTAGTTTATTACATTTGTATAATGGTCTGCAAGCAAACTTGGGAGTGGCAAAAAGTACAATTAAAACAAGCAAGAGAATAAAAAACAAAGCAATGCAAAAAGATAACCTTAAGACAGTGGCTTAAGGTTTTTAGTGGGTTCTAAAAACACTGCAATGTTGATGCCTCCCTGACTTATTATTTTTATTTATTAAAACATTTTTATGCCGCCCCATTCGCTGAAGCCTCGGGGCGGCTTACGACAATAAATTAAAAATAATTATAATATTAAATTACAAAAATATAAACATAAAAATACAATATAAAATAAGCCACCCTGGCCAGATAAAATCCAGTGAAATTAACAGTTAAAATGCCGCTTAAATAAAAAGGACTTCTGCTGCCATTCATAGAAATGGGGCTGCCACAATGAGAACTCTTCTCCTGTCCTGGTCGACTTCAGGCAGGCTATGCATTCATTATGTTGTAAGCCGCCCCGAGGCTTCGGCGAATGGGGCGGCATAAAAATGTTTCAATTAATTAATTAATTAATTAATATAACCACTGGAACAAAGACCTCTAATGACTTGGTGACCTGGCAAAGTTGGTTAAGAAGATGCTCCTTCAGTTATCCTGACTTCAATTTGTTCAGTGCATTAGTCGTTAAATCAGGCCCAGTAGTGAACAGGGAGCCTGTGCATTTCCTTCAGCAAGAGAATAGCATGCTGAAGAGGCAGATCCTGACATCATTAAAGCATAAAACTATATTCTTTTAGTATCTTTATTTTCATTACCATTGGCTTCTTTTACAGTAACTATAGGTGAGTAATGAACTCATTGCCAAGTTGTCATTACTGCAACTAATGCTTTTGCTTTGAGAAGGACTAGCTTCTGCTGCAGCTGGAGTGGAGGACAAGATGGTGCAATTGTAAAGGACAATACCCAGCAGCAGTGGGCTTCAGCTTGTGGGTGGTATAGAAATGCAATAAAATAAAGCAAAATAAATGGTTGCAGATTGCCCCTCTACCTATAGTAACAAATCAGTTGTATTCAATCCAATGTCTTGGAAGAACAGACACAGGGGAACAGTTCTTTTCTAACTGTTTTATTGGTCACTGTTCTGAGAGCTGTTGCTGATTGACTGGTTTATAAAAGCCTGAAATAAACAAACTTTCCCATATTCAGGATTTTTTCTGTGATCCTGTATGTTATCTCGCTTCAGTGGATGTCTCTCCTGAGCCAACATAGAAAAAAAAATAGCAGGCACACAGTAATAGAGAAAAGGGTATGACAAAAATGTATGGTCTGTGTAAGGTTATGAACAACATCTGCTGACTTCAGATACTTGACTGTAGAGAGACATGTATCCGTTACAGGAATGAAACCATTTTTAATGTTAATAGACAATTCACTTTTCAGTGGTGTCAGAAAAATCCCAAGGTAGTTTAACTTTCCCCAGGCAAATAAGTCAATCTAAACATTACTGACTCATTGCTTATGTCACATGCTTTGTATGTACAGATTTCATTCATTACATATTTAAAACTTGCTACTCCATAGGATCTTGCAGTAAGGAATCATTGCTTTAGATGTTCATGGAATCCTTGAAAGTTGTTTGAAAGGTCAGTCACAACCCTTCTTGGCTTCATTCCAACAGCAAATTATTTCTCTTCCATAGTGGCTGAAGTAAGAATAATTTTATAAGAGTTGCCTTAAAGTTCCTGAGTATAAGCAGCTGAATAGAATCCTGCTGTGCCAGCAAAATCTGAATGATTTAGCAGAATATGGACTACTGCAATTCTATAAAAAATCAACTTATTTCAAAGGATCAAGGAACGGACAACCTACATTTATTGACTTACTTGCAAGATTCCAAAATACCAGATATTAAGAGAATATTGGACCATAGATTTTCATTTAATTTTTTATTCTTTTATTTCTTTTTTTAGTATATTTTCTGGTTTGGTGTGTAAAAAAAAGTGTGAGAAAAATGAGTGTGTTTATGTGTGTGAAAAAGTATTAAAAAGAATTAATTATCAAGTATGCAGAATCAGATGAAAATCAAACTATAACAACCTTTGCTTGTTACCCAAAGGTTTTGCTGAAGAAAAAACGTAAGGATTCCTTTCCTCATTGATTTCAAATAATTAACCATACAAACACTTGTGCATATTTTTTATTATAGAAGACTTTAGAATATTTCAGAAATCAAGCAGGTATTTTGCTTGTATTATGCCAAAGAAAATACATTAAGGTGCAATCCTGTGTCCCCCAACACTGTTGGCAGTGGGGATAACCCCAGAACAAGTCAGAGTCCCTGTTGCAACTTTGGAAAAATACTCAAGCAGATCCTTTGACCTTGGTGGGTGCTCTCTTTGCCTTCGTAGTCAGTGTTGTTCTTGCCTTGCTGGCTGGGCTCTGCAGGCAGAAAACCAACTTTGGACTTAATGTGGGGTTGTGGGGTGCAACACTGCCACTGTCCACTGAGGAACTCTGATGGTGCCTCAGCCTCTCTTCACAGCTGGGAGAAAAACACTGACAGCCAAAAATGACTGCCTATACAGTTTGAAGGGCAACGGGATTGTGCAGAGACAATCGTGGCTTCTGCACTTCTCCTTTCACTGGATGCTCATACTTCTCTTAAGTAAAGAGGGTTACCTGCAGCCTATGGGGTAAAGCCCTAAGAAGTTTTTATTGAGACATTTAAAAAAATAGAATATATCCTTCCCCCTGCTATTTATCAGTTATGTTACAAAATCAGCAATTCCAAAAGAGAACTTTTTGTTCTTTTATGCTTATTTTCTGGACCAACAGAACAACAGTCTGGGAAAAGCTAGAATATGTGATAAAACCATCAAGAAAAGTCTTGATAGATAAAGGTATAGAGATGATGCTGAACTAGTAACTAGTTCTCTGATGCTACTGAAAATGTCAGGAACTCACATGCCAAATACAGAATTTTCTCCCTAGGCTCCTATGCTAGTAGCTTCTCCAGCATTTGCTTTACTAAGACAGGGTCTGATCGTCCTCTTGTTGTTCTTTGAACCGCTCCAATGAGCTTATTCAGCACTTTGTGGTTTCCTTGCTTTACCTCTGCAACCTAGAAAGAGAAATTGTGGCAGGGATGAGAAAGGGGGAAGGATGATTGATTAAATTATTATGACCATTGCCATACTCAGGTAAGAACACACTGAACAGACTCCACTCTTCATGGTGAGAAAAGCCAGGGTAAACCTCAAGATCTAGCAGGCTAACATAACTTCAATTCACATGTTTGTTTTCACACTGAGTAGTCATGAGCAAGCGTACTGGTACCTGCCTACCCATTCCTTGCTCAGATAAAAAACCCATGGAGCATCTTTTGGCTATAGTGGAAACAACTGAGTAACGAGAGGCAGCCTACTTACTCAAATACTCTTGCTTCTTTCCTTAAACAGCCCTAGGTTGTTTGCTAATTTGCAAACCAGGTCACTGACTATACTGTTCCTCATGTACCATTATAACCCCCACCACCCCCAGGTGTCTTTCCTTCAACATAAAACATGACTGTTTAGTTACACTTCGTAAACTTAGCTCACGTTAGATGCAACCCAGTCATTTTGAAGGAATTTATTTGTGCAGTAGTTTCTTTTCAGTCATGTTCCTAGAACAAACAAGGTTGTACAGATTTGAGGATTTCACATTTGCAGACCAACTGTGCTTTCTGCACTAGGAAATGCTAAGCCAACCTAGACTCCTGTCCTTTTCACTGAAAGCAAGCTTGACAAAGATAGTATGGATCAAATTAATTTTTTGCAATAACTGGCCTTAACCACTAATAAGGTAAAAAGATAATTGCAACATTATTGTGACAGAGTCTGAGGCAAACAGAGAGAGGCAGCTTTTTCTTTGCCTATAGCCAAGTTATCTCACTAGTGGAACTGACACTTCAGCTAGTTTCATATTATTTTCCAACACAGTGAGGATGATTTTATTTCTTTTCTATACTGCCCAGTAACAAGCTTTTTGGGTGGCCTACAACAGATGGTATGTAATTCACATTTTTGAAAACACACACTAAGCCATTCATACTTGTTTTCTGTTCATCATTATCACCCCCTCCACATACTGGAACACAGTGGCTCCATACCAACTGGGAATGGGGTGTGGGGGAGAAAAGGGAGTAAATTGACTATTGAAGCAGCTAATTTTATTTATGTATAAATAAAGATACAGCTGCTGAAACCTAAAGAAGAGCACTCCTGTTGGAGGGTGAATATATAGGGGTGAGAATACTATTGCAGGTCCTAGTTATTAAAAAACAAGCTATAATCCCTTCCAGACAATCTGAAATGAAGAAAGCTCACTCTGCAAAAGCAGCAACAATAAAGTCTTAGACTTAAAACAGGCCTGAAGAACTTGCAACCCGTTAAGCCATCCTGTGGCCAGTCAAGGCATCTCCCCCTCCCATAAACACTGGCAGTCAGCAGAAGCGATAGGCTTGTCAAACTGCTTGTGTGCACATCCAGCCTGATGGGCCATAAGGAAACCCACCCTCAGGTTCAGACTGATGGACCATGTGCCCTGTAAATACCTCTGGGAAGCACAGAAGCAGGACGGGAAGGCAGCTGCCATCTCCTGCCGCTGTGCCCCAGCAATTGGCATTCAATGACATGCTCCCTCTGAATCTGGAGGCTGCATCTAGACCTCAAGACTGCTTGTGGCTAGAAGGAAGCAACATATTCACAACTTGTGGCCTTTTAGAATAGTTAATACGTACAGGACAGGCTATGTCAAGGCTTGAGGGATCCTCTTACTACACTGAGAATCGTAACTTTCCTTCTGAACACCAACATACACTCCTGCAGACCTATTCACTATTCTTTATTTTATTCCCATTTAAAAGCCCTTCTTAACAAAGCAAGATGCACATTCAGCAGCCCAGACAACACTAAGGTGCTTATTCAAGTAAATTCTGTATGCTGGGGGACCAAGTAATTTCACATCCAGTAGTGCTGCTGTCTGTTGAGGTGAAATCTGATTTCCCCAGCAACCAATCTATCGCTTACGGTTGCTGGGATGGGGAATAATCTTCTCTTCCCATGGCTAGCACTGTAATTTCTAACGCAATTGCTAAAGAAAGGCAGAAGGTGGCTGCAGATTAATAACAGGTGCTACTAGGTAGTGACTGTGGTGTCAATGACAGTAAATCCTTTGCTTGATTCATAAAGTCTTAGGTAGCCCTTTATGGAGGTGATTATCAGCAAGGATCTTTCACATACTTAAATACACAGTCCTGCCACTCCTGATTGTGCCACTCTTAAATGCTGTGATTAGCTGCTCCCTCAAAGAGATGGTGCGGCCCCAATTGCGCCCATTCCATTCATGTGGGATCCTTTCTGATTCACTTTTGACCCTGGAATAGGCCATACAGGATTAGGCTGCCGATGCGAAGTTGCACCGTTGTACATGCTTTGATTAGCACCGTTCCAGATAATTCTGAAGTAAAATTTCATAGCAGTGTCAGCATAGAGAGCATGGTCTGTTAGAGAGTAGTGCTTGTCATCCAGGAGAGAAGCCTCAAAGCAGCCTTTCATTTTTCGTGCCTGGCTTTTCTTGAATATGAGTTGAAGGATTACATTCTCACAACCCATGTTGTTACTGAAACAAGGCCCTAGTATTGGACTTCTTGTCCTTGTTGCATTCTAATGCTCAATCTATCTGTATTTGGGGTTCAGTACCAGTTGAAAAATACAGAGGCACTTTCATCAGCCACTACGAATTAGTTATCATGTTGAAGGTCAGACAGACCTAGTGCATGCTTATGTTCTTTATCAAAGGCTCTTTGTGAAGCTGTTAGCTGCCACTGAAGAGCTGTGGGCGTAGGCAGCATTGTTCTTGATAGATGTTAGCATTTTTCCAGCTACATAAATACCTAGACAACATTTTACTTAATATAAGCTGTTCATTACCACTTTTCTGTTCTGTGCTCTGGAGAGAATACAAAAGCGCCTACTTCTAAGGCTAATGCTGGATACTTTGAAGGCTTTCTTTTTAACAATAACAGCAACACCCCACCCCCACCTGCATTAGACAGCGACATTTAACTGTAAGATTAGAAGCTTCAAATTGGGATGTTTCTTCTATTAATAGGCAGGTGCTGCTTTGTGAAGAGTGTAGTCTATACGAAACAGCGTAAGGTTTCTGGAGCCAGGAAGGCTTGGGTTCAAGGCTCAGCTCAATTACCATCTCTTGTGGGCACTTCACATGTCAAAATGTAATTTTGTCCATTTTCTCTAAAGAGTTGCCAAACTAAATGGCAATCTGAAAGGAAGATGGCAATTTAAATCTTTTATCCCCATTGCCCACCCTGAAGTGTCAAACCCTCTTGTTCCCAATTTCCTGCGATTGTTATCAATATCACCTCCTTCGGATGGCCTCCCATCACGCTCTGACAGATACGCTCAAGCTCATTCCGATCCTGGATCAGTTCAAGGTTTTTTTCTTTAGCAATCAGAGCTGGAGACTTTCCTTCTCCCTTCCACATCTCTTGAAACACCTGCAGCATCAAGATAAAGGAAAACTGGGATTTGAAAAATGCCTCTTGTCTTTCTGAAGGCAAGACTGAATTTAGCAATAATAAAAAAGTAAAGATTTAGTGGCACAAGGACTACCATTCTGGCTCAGAAACAGGAATTGGTCTTGTGATGACTTTCTATATCTAGATATGCAGAGAAAACTGGCAGAATACTTAATATGCATATGAGTTTTGCTCAAATATTTCATTTCTGGGCAGCCATTTCTAGTTCTCCAAGTTAGCTAGGCACAGACCTCTGCATTAAGTATGCATTTATGTTTCATGCATGCAGACTATGAAGCACTTCAGCTGATGCCTTTCAATCATATAACTGGACTAAGATCACCCAGACTCAGACAGCTGGAAGGAAGGAATACGGAACATATTTGCAATCACCCTCAATTGCTTAAACTTGGGGGTCTGCAGCATCCAGCCCTGGCTGCCGCACAAGACAAACAAAGCAGGTTGGAGGGAGCCTCTGGTTCACTTGTGCTTTTCTGGGGCTCTGTATAAGCAGCTATCCCATATTCTGACTTAAAGTATCTTGATAATGTGCCACAGTTATCAATATTTTAAAAATGTTTATTCACAAGTTCTAATTTACGTTATTTATAAAGGCAGAGAATAAGAGTTAAACTCATCCCTTAGTTCTGTAGATGCAGTAGTGTCCGGTTGCTAAATAAAAGGCTTCATGTGAAGGACTAGTCTGTGGTACATGCATGCATTCATAATTATAAATGCAGACTGCTTATCCTAGCTAGCATGTATCAAGAACACAAATGATATTCTGGTTTGAATACATACGCCAGGCATTTAGTGGATCTCACCACCCCTTCTGAGTGCATGTTTTTACATGTAGACGGAAGAACTGGTTTCTCCAGTAATGGCTGAGAACATAGCACTGGACTGAGACTGCATGGCTAGGAATATTCTGGTGTGAATATACGCCCTAAACTGTTCCACACCATATGGACAAATGAAATTACAAAATGCATTTCCCATATAACTGCTGGTAAAACAGTCAACAGCCTATCAGTGGGGAAAAATTGAAATTTAGCTATATAACAAAGGGAGGTCATAGAACATAAAGTTGTGGAAGGTTATAATGCAAACCTGGTGGCAGTTTCAGTCCCACTTATCCATCACAGTAAAGCACAGCTGGATGAACCTCTGTGTCTGCCTAGAATAATTATTAGTTAATGCTATAGTGTTTTCTAGCTCTGTTGTCTGGCTCTGATACCTTGTTAAGGCGGGGGGGGGGACACTGAGAGAAAGGACTATTTATAAAAAAGCAATTTCTTTGGGCAGGCATTTTCTGTATTCCCTCTGCTCTTATTTTAGAGATGTAGTTTGAGAGGAAGCACCCTCTTAAAACAGCTACTTCTGTTTAATCCTGCAATGAACAAATAATTGCACATTTGGGCAACTGTAATCTACCAATGTAGAAATGACTGTCACACTAGAAACTCCATGCTACTAAGTCAGGGAAACTAAGAAAATGCTGGTTAATGTAGTACCATCACAGCACAATCACCAATGCTTTCCACAAAACAAAATTAAAATGAGGTGGTTAGATTAGCCATGTTATAAATCTTCTGCTCCAACAGATGAGAGTTTACTCAGGGCAGTAAGGTTTGCCTAGCCCAAAATAATCTCCTAATGCTTCTTTCCAGGTATGTAAGCCAAGCATTGACACTATGTGCGCTGCTATTCAGGTTAGTCCAGCATGTGCCAAGTCACATTTATTTCCCTGAGGGCCTCAAGGTTGTATGAGCAAAGCAATCTAGCACAGCCACTGTGCAATCCTTTGTATCTTGTGAGGCTGTAAAGGGCCAAAAGGCATGTAATGTAGACATTTAGCAGTAAACTGAGTTGCTTATAAAAAATGTTACCATATTCCTTCATGTTTAAGCCACCACTTCTGGACTCCTAGCACAAATAAAACTGAATCCCGAGCATGGATACTACATAGCTAAAACTGAACTGGACGGGAAGGTAAGTGTGAGCCTGCCCTTAAGCAGATATTTTTAAATGCTGCCTTCTCTAGCAGATAACGTTTAATCCCTTTAAGAGCATCGTTGGTGTTAAATGCTATCAAGTAATCTCTGATGGCAACCCTATGAATGAATGCCCTCCAAAATGTCCTCTTCTTGGCAGCCCTGCTCAGATGCATCTCATAGTTGTTCTTCCTCTTCTTCTGCCTTCCATTTTCCTAGCATTGTCTTCTCCAGTAAGTCTTGCCTACTCAAGATGTGCCCATAGTAAAACAGCCTCAGTTTCATAATTTTATGCTTCCAAAGAAAGTTCTGGCTTCATTTGATCTAGGACTCACCAAATTTTCTGTCAGTCTAAGGTATTCACAAAGCTCTCCTCTACGAACTGTTTAAAATGCATCAGATTGTCTTCCTGTCAGCTTTCTTCACTGTCCAGCTTTCCTACCCATGCACTGTCATCAAGAATACAATAGTGTGGAAGATCTTGGACTTGGACACCAGTGAAGTGTCCTTACATTTGATGAACTTTTCTAGTTCCTTGATTGCTGCCCTTCCAAATCTCATTCTTGTAATTTCTTGGCTGCATTCTCCCCTTGAATTGATGACTGAGCCAAAGTATGCAAAATTGTTCACCATTTCATTCCCACCCCCCATTCTTTAAAGTTGTGTAAAATGTGTGACTTTCTGATTGGGTGGCAGTTAATGTGAGTTAATACACTCAAATTCCACTTGTCACTCACTTTAGTAAAAAAACATGAAGCACAAAGGAATCAGAATGGCAAGAGATATCCTTAAAGGGGCTGTTGCTATCACCTCTGCAATTTTTAGTAAACTTGAAGTGGGCCAAGTTACAGTAGGAAACTAATCCCGAGGGCATGAACATTTGCGCATCCTTAAAAAGCTCTGCTTAGAATTTGAGACTGGCTCAGAACTGTGTGCATCCATGACTGTAGTGAAGAAAACATAACTGGAAGAAAACATTTCATGGGAAAGAAACAGGAAAAAGACCCTTTGGTTCATTGGGGTGGCAATACTTGACACTTAACTAGGTGGCCCACTGCCTTTATTCAGTGTGAGATGTCCCCTTACTTTTCTAAAATGATGGTAGTCTGTCCAGTTTCCCATAATCTCAGTTAGTTCTTTCACGTGGACAATATTCCACTGTGCTGACTGAAATACGCTCTTGTGTGAAGATGGATTAATACATGCTAAGTTGAGCAAGCACACACCTGAAATGAATCTTATTGGTATGTACATAGTTTTGGGAAAGGCTTGTTTAGGAATGTTGTAATTATCCAGTGAAGCTGAGTGCAGCCATATCTCCACATAGCCACCCTTGCATGGCTACACAGCGTGCCACATCTAATATGGCTCACAACCCTTATTAATTTGAGCCTCATTGATTTGTACAGAGCACAGAGAGAAATGTTAAGCTGTTGGCAGCTTCCAACAATGGGTATGTGTGCTGTGTGTGTATGAATTTGTGCATGTGTCTCTGTTTGCCTAGCCTGTCAGCTCCTTCCATCATTTCTTGCCGGAACTGCCTTCACCGCTGCAGTTCAATCACCCCACTCTCAAATGTAGCAATTCATCCGCTGTTGTGTGCGTGTGTGTATATAGCCATTTCTGCCCTCAGGCCATCCAATCTCCCTGCCTACTGCTGAGAATCGTTAGAAACATTTGTTATTCTTCAGACATCTAGCCCACCAAAGTCCTCTTCTAAATGTGGCAAGGGCACTGTATTTTATAGGATTATTCAGATATAACCAAACAATGTCATTGTTAGTTAGCATCTTATTTAGATAGGTTGTTAGGACTGTATTGTGAAACTATTCTGAGGTTCTGAGTTGGATATAAATCTTAGCAAGTTGTTAATTTAAAGACACACAGAAAATTAGCACCATTACAAATGGTGGTAGGACAGGAAGAAGTTTCTCTCCCAAGGATTTGAAAGCCCAGGCAGGCTCATAGGGAAAAATGCAATTTTTCAAATCAACTGAAGACTTGTGATTATAGAACTCCTCCACAAAGTCCTCTGTACAAGGGTTTGTGGGAAATTTTACTCTCCCTACCCATGTCATTTACACTGTACCAACATGTGCTGGGAAAAGTGTGTCTGATGTTAAATAGTTAAGGGCAGGTTGCTATGGAGGCCTGACACTGCCTAGATGGCCACAGGATGGATTAGAGTCCCATCTCTGCGCCTGGACATGCGCTCCGAGGATTGGGCCGGGACTCCGACCATGGAGCACATGGTCTCCCTCAGTCCTCGCAACAGGCTTAGTTCTTCCTGTGTAAGCTGCAGCTCCAAGTGGCAGCGTTGGGGTGTGCGTGTGTGCAGTGAAGTTGCACTGGGGAAAAAAAGGAATCCTGGTGCTGCCCCAGCAGCTCCCCCTTGCATGCAAGGACGAAAAACAGAAATGGCCAAAATCATCTCCCTATGTCCTTTTTAGGAAGGGAGAAGCACAGATATGAGACTGGATGTCAGTAATCCTCTGAGTTCTATTACCAACTATATAAAGATAAGCTAATGCTGCAGTCTCCAAATGCAAACATCTGAAGCTAAGCACCAACTTTCACACTCACACTATCTCACAATGAGACCAAACAATCACTCTGTCAAGCAATCAGGACTGCAAAGTAGTAAGCCCCATTGAATTCAATGGGATTTACTTCTCACACTGACACACTCTGATTTATATTAAAATGGTTTTAATGGTAAAGCAGATGACAGCCATTCAGGATATCAAAGCAGTAATGCAAGTCCTGCTGCTCCAGAAGAAGAGAAGATATGCCTTGCTACCTGGCAAAACTCATGATTAGTCACCAATAATGTATATACTTAAAATGGTACTTTGTTCACAGGAACAAGGAACCTTTATTCCATCAAATCATTCACATGAAACAACCATTTTCAAGGGACTGTCATTCCACCTAAGTGACAGCTCCTAGATTACATTCCACATTAAACATATTCACAAGTTAAAAGTAAATCAGACCAAACAAACAAACCCAAGCAGGTTAAGGGAGAAATTCTTAGCATCACTTCTTCAAGCACTTCAGGTGTCCCTTATGCACTTCTCCATGGGAGATGTGTGAGGGGCCTTCATGGCTAAGCAGGATCTAAAACCTGGATATCCCAAGTTCCAGTCCAACACTTTAACTACATTATAGGTTGCACAAGGATACCCTTGCCCTTTCACGCCCAAGTACTTACCTGCTTGGCTGCTGAAGAAGAAATAATTCCACGTTCTAGAAGGTTCAGAAGTTCAGCCAAAAGAAGAGGACTGAGTGGACTAGACACATAAAAATGAATAGAGAGAATACTGTGGAAGACATTTATAACATGTTTGACATGACAGGTAGAAATATGCAAAATCCATCCCTTTTACACAGAGGTTTCTATTTTACCTTCCTATGTACTGAATGTCTGTGGAAAGTTTTCTGGTTCTTAGCATTTCTGAACAACTTTATGCATTTAATATTCTTGGGAGTTTTTCCTACTTGAAAAAACAGTTATGTAAACCGATGTGCATTGCTGCGGCACACTGACAAATGGTGCAAACATTTTACATGCATCAATGTTGCTAGCTCTGACATTATTTCCATTCCATTGTGATCTCTTAAAACAAACACTGATGCTTTCCCCTGACATGGCCAAGGACATGCACACAGATGGTCCTGGAAAGTGTTTATGTTATACATTAGGCTTTACTCTCACATAGCCAAATCCAGCACACATATTTATTTGTGCACACTGTGGATAGGAATGTACATCTCATTTAAAGTACCGCAGTGCTGACTGACATCTGTACTCCAATGCATGTTCTTCTTCATCCCCTTGCCACCTAGTATGTAAAGTAAAACCCACTATTGATCTTCTCCCTCTCCTGTGTAAATTGGATGAAATGAAACATAAGGAGGCTTAGGATAGTGCTCTCCACCCACTGAACAATATTCACTTTAAAAACTGAACCTTAAAGAATATTGTGCCACCCGAAATCATAAAATATTATTCAGATGTTCATGTACTAACACAGGACAAAATTGTTTGCTATTATGCAAGACTGCTGGCATACAAGTTGTGTTTGATCAACAACATGGTGGTCTAAAAAGTCTCACCTTTTCTTTACTGGAAGACTGTTCTGTTTTAACAGGCTAAGTGTATCTTTTAGAACCCAGCCAATCACTTTTTTGGGATTCATTTCTGTTGCTTTCACAACAGTTTCGAAGAATTCTGCTAATCCATCTTCATTCTGTTCAGAAATAAAATGGTGTATTAAGAAGGTAGCAGCCAAGACAATTTTCCCCACAAAACTCTTCTCTATTTCTGGACTCATTTCACGTGCAGTTTTCTTAAATGCTTTGTTTCTCAGTAATTCTTGGCAGTCAAACTGATCAATACTTGTATCTTCAAGTATTGCTTCAACTATATTTGCAATATTTCTAAAAGAGCTACAGGATGAATATTTGATGAAACAGCTTGATAGACAAGACTTCAGCCACACTGCCAGTTTAAGTTCTGTGCTTGATTTATTAATAGGATTCATACGGGGATATTCACAGTTACAGCTATTCACCTTGCTGGTCCTAAACCACCCCAGGCAGGACCACATGCTCGTGTAAGGTCGCACAGGTTACACAGAGCATTTACTAGCCTGTACCTCTCCTTCCCCTGAATAACTACAGACTACTTCCTTCCCCTGAAGAATCTGATGGAATCACCATGATACCTAGGTACCCACAGTTTAGGGAAAGGGTAATGTAGTAGGAATATACTGTATTTGTACCCATCAAACTGGAAAGATAAAGAAAATACTCGTAGAAGGGGACAGAGCTTCACAGATTTTGGTTAGCCTGATATATCAGAACAACTTGAATCTGCCCTGCTTATTGTCAAATATCATGGTATTTTATATTAAAATGGCTGAAATAGATTTGGCCAACTGTGACAATCCATGACAATCCACCCAACAACTTGACAAGAATTGGCAAACTAAGAAAAAAGCAGGACTAGTTTCAGACAAACAAAAACTGCTGGCTCTCTCTTTGGGGGGTGAATAAAACACACTATTGCCTTTACAAAGTAGTAATGATGTCCTATTAAACATCAAACCAGGACATGTGTGCTCCTGTCGGGTGTGCGTGCGTGTAAAATTTCATATTGAGTGACAAACCTAACTCTTGCATATTTTGTATTGCAAGCAAGACTAAAGCAGTCATTTGCCTCCAGACAGCTTTCATTGTTGGGAAGTTGATCAAAATTCATGGCAGACTCAAACCAACACTTGCTCAGTATAGGAGTAATCCTATGACTCATAGCAGGAATATTTCTCTCTCCGACAGTTTGTCAGCTTAGGGAATAAGCTTGCACAAGGCAACCCTTGAATGGAACTTGCTTATATCCAATGCCAAATGCAATTTTCTCCAAAACCCTAGTCCTTGTCCAGCCTCATTCAGTTCAAAGTGAAGTTTCATCAGCAGTTTCAATTTCTGTCATGCATATATTATATTCCTATGTTGCCTTACAGTCTAATGAGATTTTGAATCTGGTATAAAGCTTACATATTTAAAAGTACAACTTTTAAATACACTCTGGATGTTCCCTAAGTACATCTGCCTGTTTCCTCTGCCATTTTGAATTTTATACACGTAAACACAGGTACATAAAAGTCAAAAGTGTCCAGTGTGGTTTATTCTGACAAGCTAGAGAGAACTCTCACTCAGGAAGTCTTGGAGGCAGCATGCTGTCCCCACAGCATCAACAAACTCCAACACATGTGCAGCCCCTGTTCCATCAGATAAGAAGTTGGACTGGATGAGTTCTATAATTAACACCTGCTGCAGATACAGAACGCTCCAGACAACCTGGCCACTCCCACTGGTCCAAGCCAGCCTGGCCAATAGTCAAGAACGTCTGAAGCTGTGGTCCAAAATGAGTGCAAGGCACCAGGTTGCATATCCCATCTTTCCTTTCTTCTATCCTTATCATCTGTGTTTATCCTTGCCTAAAGGACCACTCTGCAGCAGTAGTATTGGCAGCAGTATCCAATGCGACACTACCTGATGTAGTGACTGATGTAAATGACATTGTGATAACATCAATGAGCTTGGATGCAATACCAATACTATTTGGTAGCATAAAATATTATCTAAGGAAACCCATCACGCCGGGGAGTGGTACTGCTGTTGCGCTACAATGTTGTTGTTAACAGAACACACTGAGCTGCTGTCCCACTTCCCCTTGACAGCATACCTGCAATCTTTCGCTAGGCCAAGTGATTTTAGAAAATTAGCACTGAATGACATATAGGGATACAGTGCACAATTCATTAAATGCTAATAAAAGCACTTCTCCTGGCTCACTGGCATCTTCTGGGCCTAAACCTAGTATATAAAATGCATGTCAAACCACATGCAATTTTTTCTGTTAACAAAAGTGAATAAAAAACTAAAAAAATGCTGCTCTGTAATTACTGTTTTTCCAAAAGTAATGTTTGGAGAATACTGTAGTGCTTTATCACATATGCAATTTTTAAAAAAATTGTTCCTTAAAATACATTGCTCAGGCTGAAGGACGCTTCCCCAAATGTAGCGGATGGGATGAATGTGGAAATTTCCTCAAATACCCACTTTTTTGTATGTATGTTATCCTTGAAGTGTGCATAACCGTAATATTTCATCTATAAAAAGCTAACATAGTTGAAACAAAATGGGAAAAAGTAATTTGAATGTTTCATTGGAATTAGGAAAATTTGGTACAACTTGAGCAATATATTCTTCCAGTAATTTTTGCATAGAAATTAAGTCATTATATCATTCTTCATTAAAAGAACTCACATTTCCCATGGTTTGGCAAAGAGTAGTATTTTCCCATTGCTGAGAAGACTATCCACATCTATTTATATATTCCATTTATTTTTTATTTACTGCCGTTTACTCATAATCAAATTTATCTGGGTAATGCCCTATCAATTTATGTTTTAAAACTTAAGACACATGCTTTAAAACAAACAGAAATAAAAACAGCCAAGAATATAATGAAGATAAAAATGACAGCAAAGAATAAAACCATCTCAGCACATGATGTCAAACTAAAACCACCAGCAGAATAAAAAACTATAAGCACTCAAAACAGTTCTTAAACACCTAGGAGAATAAAAGCCCTTCCTCAGGCACTGGGAATAGAGGCACCAAGCACACTTCTCTGCAGAGAACATTCCATGGACAAGTTGCCACCATTGTCCTCTAACAGTCACCCATCTTGCCTCCTTTGGCACTTGGAGGACGATCTGAGATGACTGCCATAATCTCTAGGTAGGTAAAGTTGCTCCTTTAGCCCTGTATGATCAAAGGTAAACCAAAGTCCCCTTTCCTCCTCTTCACCGAATGTTCTGGAGATCTTGATAGATCAGGAGCACAGTTGAAAGGAATAATCGTAAATGTGTGTATAAGCACTAGCTTACTTTCCAAAGTGTTAACTATGCCACACTTTATTCCTCTTTGGTGCATAACTTGCATTTTTACATGTACAAAACTGATTTTGTCATTGTTGTAAATATTGTTTCCTGTTTATTTTACTTACTTAGTTAACACTCTCTATATGTTTTAAAAATAAACAAAATTAAGAGAGAGAGAAATGTGCCATTAGAAGAGCTCATTGCAATTAAGGAGTGTGATGAAAAATTAGCAGTACATACTTCCTCAGAGAATTAATGCAACACCAACTGGAATACGCAAAAGGAAAACAGTCTTTCAGTATTGAAGTATGACAGTCTTTTAATGCAATTTCCACTGCATAATGCTGTCACTAACAAGTTGGCAGGAAGCATGGAACATGCATTCTGAAGGCATTCCAGTGCCTGTGCCATTTATTTAATGAGCACACTTGGGCACTCTAACTTGAAAGACTGTTTATTAGATTTATGCATCATGCCCATTAGCAAGCTGCTTGGGTTCCTGGTAGAGGCTTAGAAAACCAACCAAAACGCCACATCTCAGGTGATTTTAGATTACTTGGCATCTCAGTGAATCAACACAAAAAGAAAAGAACTCTGTGGAAAGGGAGTCATTCTTGGACCACGAATAGTAACAGTGTTACTCTTGACTTAGTGACTGGTCTCATCCTCACAGTAAATATTTCATTTACTTTCAGCTATGTAAGCTTCCAGAAAAAAAAGAGAAAACATATGAGGTGTCAGAGATGGAGATTAACATAAGGATGAAGAGAAAGCCTTCTAATAAAAGGGCTAAGTGTTAGTTAAAGCTGGAAGCTTACTAGTATGAAATGATTCTACAGTGATTTAAGCAAGCTCAGTTATTTCCAATCTTGAAAACATCTCCAAAGATAATAAATACTGTATGGAAGGGCTTGCTCAACCTGTACATTTATGACAGACACATGCAAGATGGAATTTCAGAGAAGGCTTATGGTGTTTCCCTTTTGTTGGTGTGTTAACAGTAGGATATGTTAAATATAAAGCCATAAAAAGCTGTTCTGGAAGCCCTTCAGTGAATATAGCTCACTTATTTTTGCAAAGATCCTGGATGGTGCAAATGACATGTAAAAGGCAAGATCCCTGAGGGGAATATGACTTTTGAATGGTACAGACAGTAATACTGCAAGGAATAGAGCCATAAGCTAAAGGATTCTGTTTAAAGGCCTATGTTTAAACAAACACTGTTGAGCCTGTGAACCCACTTACTTAAGCACCAGTGTTGCAGGAATACCAGCCTTGCAGGCAAACTCACAAGACCAAATTGGATAAGGGTATATAAGAGGGTTCTTCAAAAAGTTGCTGCACTTTTTAAAACTCTATTTATTAAGAAATTCAAAAACAAATTACAATCACTTTTGTACATAGTCACCTTTCTTTGCAATGCATTTTCCCACCATCATACCATTTTTTTAGTGTCATTAAATATATAAAATATATTTATAAAATATAAAAGTGTGGAAACTCTTTGAAGACCCTCATGTAAGAGAAGAATGAGGGGAGGAATGACAGACAGCAAGAGTGTGTGATGGAAAGGTGGGTCAATTAGAACGTGTAACAGGTGGAAAGGTGGAGAAAGTCAGAATTGGGAGCTGAGAGAGATTTGGAGAGAGAAGGAACTGCCTGCTAGTATAGGTAAATGCCTGTTTGTTAGTACAGCTGTTAAAGAACAGAGCCAGTTCCTAATAGCATATTTGAACTATTCTGTTATAACCATATACTTACAGAGTTTAATTCATAAATTCATATCTCACCCACATGCAGCCAAACACTTAAAAGGCAGAGTCCTGCTCTCTAAATCAGCCAGCTATTTGGGGGAATATTAAAGAAGCCCTGTACTCACTGAATCAGAGGAGTAACTTCCCCAATGATCTAGAGGATCCAGGGTTTTGAAGGGAAACCACAGGAGGTGGTTTTTAAAGCAAAGGTTATACAACTACAGCTAGCTACCATAGGTTTGTTCTCATACAGATTATGGACAGCAGATATAATTTCCAAGTCCCTGGATGGGTGTGTATCCAAGTAGGAATAACAAAGCATGTTGGACACATTTCCTACATAGCAAAAATCTATGAGAGCTGACAGCTGGTTAATGCAACATTTTAAAGAGTGCCTTCTTGAGCATCGGATCTTTGAAGTTTCTTGGTGTACTTGAACATTCAATCAATAGACCTACCAATAAGGTGAAACTGTGTTGAGGCTGAATCCCATAATGTTCAACAAGCTTTGCTCTCTTCACACTGGGGAGCTCCGGAAGCCTCTCCTGAAGCCAATCAATGTTCACCTCTTGCTGATAGCTTGAGCGTGAGGGCAAAGATTTTGCATCATGAAGAATCAATGGAGGAAGGTTTGGCTCTGGCATGAATCTGGGGAGACCAAAGATATGCTCTTTGGGAGCTGATTTTTACTTAAATCCATTTGCCACATCCCAACAACATGTGGCAACATCCCCACTCCGCATGATGATGATGTGAATTGATGTAACCAGACCAAATATATGAAGAGCACAAGTCCTCTGAGCAGCAACAGGTAAGCCCCTGTGCCAAGGCATAGCCTTAAGCTCTTTTTGATCATCCACCACTGGCTGTCAAAACAGCCAGCAATGGGGAGCAGGAGTATAGTTGAAACATTCTACCCCAAACACCAAACAAAATGCAGATGTCACTCATCCTTCCAAGTATCAAATGGGACCTGTGATTCCAACCAACTGGGAGTATAATTTGGCAAAGGGAAAATACAGACTGACAGCCAGCTGCTAAGAGCATTTCATGCAGGATGCAGTCTCCCTCATATTAATCTGAGGAATTTCAATGTACAAAGCAAGCTGTGTTAAAAGCCAAGTTGCCATCTTCGGTGGGGTGTCGTAGTAAATAAAACTAAGTGACAACATCAAAGGACAAGGGCTATACTGAAGAAAAGGCTAATTCAAGCCAACACAAAAACATGGCAATTAAAGCGCTAACTCCTGCCTTACATGGACAAATGATGGATTTGCACGCTTGAACAATTAAAGCATTCCATCCCTCTCTGCTAACAGCTGAGAAGTGTTTCTTGAAGAAGCTACATTTATGCTACACACCCACTGGTTTCAGATTCAGCAGTAAACAAACGAAAGCACAGTTTAAAAAGCAAATTTCACCATAAGTGTTGCCTTGCCTTGATTTGTTCCTACTCCTTTTCTCCCCATGTTTTATACATTCTTTTTTTACAATTCAAATTATTCAGTTTAAGCAATGATACAGGCTAACACTAGTAGATACACAAAGAACTATTAAAATAGCTTTAATCTTCTCTTTATATGGTATCCTGCAATTTAGAAAAATGAAGGATTAAGGGGTTATTACTGTATTAGCTATAGTGTACAACTGCCACTAACTATGAAAAATAGGAAGTCTATTGTGAACAATCAAAGGGTTGATAATGAAGCACAGCCCTTTTATCCATATAGCAACAGAACACACAAAATGTTCAAATAAACCAGAGAATGTGAAATTGGGAATGCTACTTATATAGCGATGAACATACCTGAAAGTTAGATAGTTTCACACACTTAAAAAAAATCCAACTAGGAATTTCAATCCAAATTAGGATAAATACTTAGTGGATTTTTCATCCCTTCTGTTCAAGTATAACAGAACTTCTTTAACAGACTTCTTTACATTCATGATGCAAATATAATTAGTTCTGTTTACTGTAGGCAGCAGCGGCCAGTCTTTTATTCAAAAACCTGTCTGCCAGTGGCCAGATATTCATGGTATATTCAATCTTACTCATCGATCATGATTCTATTTTCTTTAGCAGATTATCATAGAATGATCAGTTATCAATTACAGTTGTCATGTTAAAATATTATTTTATATACAGCAAAGTCATAGTTTTATTTCCCATTGCATGTCCAGTTCAAGAACACCAAAGTACTTTGGGATGGCTTCTTATTCACTTAGAAATACCACTGGCAGAATTAGAAAAGTTTCACATAGAGACAGAGTCACATGATCAAATAAGCTACAGTGGCTTCAGGTTTGTGTCAAGTGCCATTACCCTAATTATCTGCCTGGACATAGCTTGTCTTATCATCTGAACTCAGATGGCATGTATTGCTTGAAGAGACAACAACCCTTAAATAAGTCAACACCACCATGGTTTGTTTTGATCATGCAAACTGGGTCAGTGTGTGGTTTCTTTACTATCATTCTACCTACCATCAAATACCTAGTAAAGTCAGTGGAAGTCATAAGGGGAGCATGGTTGTCAAATGCACAGTGAAATGCTCATTTTAAAGCTTTTGGGTTGGATCCAGAGAAATGTGTGCAGAACTTGAATTTCCCACTCATTTGAATTTCCTGCAGTTTCTTAAAATGTCTGTTTATTTATTTATTTCTCTACCACCCAATAGTGGACCTTTCTGGTCAGTTTACAACAACTCATAAAATATAAAATAGAATACAGATAACTATAAAATAATACAATTTGACTGCCAAACTTACAAAATGAATTTTAAAATGGAATTTAGACAATTTAAATAGCTTAAGAAAAGTTAAAATTAGATCTGTTAACCAGATAATATAACACTCCTATGGGGTAGACTGCTGCTGAAAGGGAAATTGAAAGGGAGGAAGGATTCCTGACTATTGAGCAGAAGTATCTCCCACAAGAACATGGTGCTTCTAGTCAAGATTTGGTGTCCTCCGCTTACCCAGCACCTCCTGCACTACAGCCAATCCCATTTAGAAAGATCCCTCAGCCCTTGGATGATGCTTTTGAGAGTGCTGCCAAGGGTCAAAAGGGATGGGAAACTCTCATTCCATCAGCTTCCTCCTATGTATGTTTTTCCATGCATCCCAAATTACCGATAATCCTGCTTTCCTTCTTTATCTCTCATTGGGATGGTGCACCTGAAAAACAAAACAAACAAATTCAGTATTACAGATACTTTCACCCAAGGTTAATACTTTTAAACCATTCTAGTCCAGGAAATTCTATTAGATTGTTTAACCTGAAAAAGCCCTACCAATATTAGGTCAATTTTACTGTTTTACTCTTCATATTAGAACACTATCATCTTGTCATAATTAAAACACAATTAAAAAGGTTAAGATAGAAGAATCTTAGGTGTAATTGGAAATCACTACATTTTATCAATCACTACATTCAAATGTGAGGAGCATTATCAACATTTTATATCAACCAGTAGCTTCTGTTGGTGGAACACATTGGCTAGAGTTTATATTACATGCATCCAAATACTTGTTCTTTTCTGAGAAATGGATTCAAAGGGTTAACAGTCTTACCACAGAAAAATGATAAAAAATGATATTTGACAGATAATGGAGCAATGTCATCCTATCCTATCCAACCCAGTAAGAAACACAACGATTTAATTAAAACAGTGAACTCCTCTATCTTACGTTCATTTGTTTGCTGATCTTTGTAAAGATATTAGAAAGTGAGCCTGTGGTAATTATTCACATGAACACTAAGGTACATGGCAGGCAGAAAGGGAAAAAACCTATGTGCACTGGTAGTGGAATATAGCTACCACCCACTGTAGAATTTGACTGTCATCATATACCAAGACTCAAATCTTGTGAATAGAAGGGGGTACACAAAACCACAGGGGAAGAACCACCACACATAGGCTTTTTAACTGCTCTTCCCCTGAAATATGGTTTATTTTGTTTAGGATCAGAATGCCAGATATGCATGTTTTTAGAATAAGGAACAAACGCTCTGCACAAGCAGTACAATGAAAAACTTACCCAAGCTTAGCGTCAAAAGCTCTAGTTTCATTCAGAATGGTGCCTCCATTCTCCAGCTCTTCAATTTGCCTCTGTATTTCATAGTCTTAAAAGAAACAAGAAAATCAACTTCACTTATACTGTGCCCTGGCCTGTTTTGTTTCTACCAGACAGTGACGGAATTAATGGTTTAAACTTTAACAAAACCAGATGTAGCCTATTAGCAAGAAAAAGTACCATAGAAGCTAAGCTGCTCTGAGAATTCAGTGATAAAGGGTACATCCACCAAGCCCATTCTGAAACTCCCAGAAGCCAAGCAACTCAGACAGTGATTCTGTCATCATATCGACATATTGATTTCTTGTACACCACCTTTATTTGACAGATCTTTACTGGACTGGTTTCTGCTAGAGATGGCACACAAGTTATGTGCGTCAGAGATCTTTTATTCAGTCTAAAGTGGAACAATATCTTACATATGTAGGAAGCTGCCTTATAATAAATTAGGCCACTGGTCTGCCTAGTTCAAACTGTCTATACTGACTGGCAGTGTTTTCCAGGATTTCAGACAGAAATCCATGCCTTACATGGATTAAACCTGCAAAGCTGAGCTATAGTGCTTTTCCTAACATATATATGCACACGTAATTGGCACCTTTTCCATTTTCCAAACCTAAGATTTGCTTGGGTATATAGCAGCCTTCTCTTGTGCAATCTTTATGTTGTACCTTCATGTTTTCTGTGACTTAGAGCATAAATATACTATCTTTATGCTGTCTCACAATGTAACTTGCATCACCTTCTTCTAAAGAAATAGCACTGTGCTTACATAGAGCTAAACTGGTAATTGCTAAGCAATAAATCACTGGTTTGTTGCTAGAGAAACTCACCTATCAACTGCTGGTCCAGATGTTTCACTGTGTACAACATGCATGTGTGCATACCCCATGGACTTGCAATAGAAGGTAATAACTTTTAAAGGTGTTAAAACAGAATTAAAGAACAAATTTAACCAACATGCTTGTTTTTCAGTCAATTAATTATATGGCTACAACTGCCTACACAACTGATGTGTAGGCAGTTGTAGAATATTAGTGATCTTACTGATTACAGCAGTTGTGGTGGCTCAAGTAGTCACTCCAATTCCTGGGAAGAAAGTTTAATTATCTTCCCTGGAGAGGTGAGCTCCCTTCAAAGTCTTGTATCAATTTCTGCAGTTTTAAGCTAAGCCTTCAAAACTACATAAAGACACAGTGCCAGAGTAGCATTAGGTTAATTTCTGATCCTATGCCATATCTGGTATTTTACTGAAGGCAGAACCATGAATGTAGCCCTCTATTCTCTATCAGCATAAAGCTGAATGTTAGGGCTTACGTCAATTAATAGACACCTGTGTGATCCTAATGAGGAGTGACAAATCCAGTTTCTAAGATTTAGTGGGTTTAGTGCCATAAACTTGGTAGAAAGTTGAGATACAAAATGAATTAAATAAAAAAAATGTCTTAAGTTCCAACAGAATGTCTGCTTTATTGAAAGAAATAAGGGTTGTATATTAAAGCCTCAAAATGTGGAAAATGTCTGCTAGTGAGGCTTTGAGTTGTCAATAATAAATGTTTTTCACTCATTGTGGATTCCTGCTTCACAAAGGGAAGGTGCACAAATTGTGGCATTTGTTACTTGGAGAGTAGCCATTTCCAACCTGGTGTCCTCCAGATGTACTAGCAATGGTGGGAGTTGCCATCTAAGATATCTGGAAGGCACCAGGTTGGGAAAAGCTGCTACAGTGATCAGTTTGAACCTGAACTGGTCCACCCTGGAAAGCACTTTCAGAAGGACGGCACAATAAAAAGCAAACAAATGAGACAACTTTTACGGAGTATGTTAATCCTAGAATGGATGACAGATGTAACTTTTAGACTGTTTTCAGTACATTTGCCATTAATCATAATTTGCATTAAGATTTTAAGGGATTTTTGTGATTTTGTTTATAAACCACTTAAACACTGATTTGATGGGGCAAAAATGAGAAAAAAATTGGTTCACTAACACATAAATAGGGAATTGAAATATGTCATCATTTACCGTATGTATGCATTTATCATGCCCAACCACTGAAACCAGAGTCAGTTTGACATGGAAACCCTAATTCTACGTCTAACCTTTCAACTGGTAGGAAACAATGTTTCATTTACCTATTGCTTTTGCAAGAAATCGGGCACTGTTGATATTCTTCACTTCAGTCCTCACTCCATAATGCTGTCCAGGCTGATGTACAGATACATTGGCATCTACTCGCAGTTGGCCCTCTGCAGAGGAAAAAGTAGTTGAGTAGGTTTCACCATATGGAGTTAATCACATATTATTTGCAAAAGGTTTTTATAGGACATAGAATAATCTGGAGTGATCAGTGGCTGTTAGTTCAAGGACTGCTTCTTCCCTTATACCTACATCTTAAAAGCATATGAAGTTATAACTAGAAGGTATTGGCATGCTTCTGTCCAAAATAAAACACACATTGGTCTCTCTCCGGGAGGTTTGTCTCAGTGTGGCATATCTTCATCTGTGAAACAGGCATACACATGTCATTCTCAATGGAACACACTTCTTAAGACAGAGACATGAGTAAGAAGAGCTTTCTTAGGTATTTCAAAGATCACATGGAAAGCAGCCCTTACATGATTTTCAAGTCTCCGCACTTATTTAGAATATACATAAAATCTTTTCAAACAGAAACTAGCATGTGTTGCTTCAGAGCTTTGTGCTGTCATCTTCTAAGACAGAAGTTTCAAAAAATTTTAAGGATGCGCTGCAAAAGAATTTGTGGCACAGATGCAAATTCCTGGCAAGACAACATAGCAGAGAAAATGGTGGCACAACCCATGTGGAAAACTGCTGTGTAAACACCGTGCAACATAACACCTACTTTTCTTAGATCTTGTTTCCTGAAATTTTAACCAAACCAGTAGTATGGAATGATCCTGTTTCACATGAAGATGAACAAAGTCTGACCAAACTCCTTGGTGGCAAGCAGTGAAACCACAAAGCATTAAAACAGATATTTTTTTTCTTGGTGCTTTTGACTGGCATGCAACTATCATTTGAGGGCTCTGTATAGCTCTGTCACAAAGCCAATAACCATTCAAGACAGATGTACTCAAGTGTCCTTGAAAGTATACAGCTCAAGGACAGGTGCCAGAAACCTGTTTTTGCTTCCCCTCAAGGAACTATAATCTTTGCCACCAATACAATTTTGAATCCTTCCCAAGTGCCAAAAGAGTTATAGATACAGGCCAGTATCAAGTGATGCAGAGGGCAATCTGGCATGAAAGCAAAGCGTGGGATTGAAGCGCCACAGAGTCTCTGTTCTGCTTCTGCATATACTTTGTGAAGAGGCATGTTAGGCTCTGGCAGTCAAACTGGTAAAGCAATCCAAAATCCCCCAATAAGTACCATACTACTATATGATACAGAAAAACGCACACGTTATTACAGTTTCCTTCTTATCTGCACTTAAGTTAATGCCCTGTAAAGAGAAGCAAATACTGGCTATTTACACAACAGCATAAGTATTAAATCTGAAAAGGATAAAAATTGAGCATCCAGTCAGAATTAAGTCAAGGGCATTTTCCAAAGATATGAGCACTTCTTTTTCATACTATTGTGCAATACTACTGAGTAGTGCTGGACACAGAAAAATGTAGGCAGGTTTCATCTATGCTGTCACAAAACAGAGAGGAAAGAAAACCTAGCAGCTCCCAATTTTATGACATAAATTGCTTCATCCGTTGTGGCTTTCAAAGGTATTCCTAAATAAGCGAGAAATTAATATAATACAATAAGTGCTGGCAAACACCCTTCTCATAAGTCAAGAGTGATGCAGTATTGGTTCAAGGGTGCAACTAGCCCAGAACTCTGTTAACAGAGTAGCAAATCAACTCTCCACAGGACACATACAAGCAGGACATGAGTGCAACTGCATCTTCCCATCCAGTTCCCCAGAAACTAGCATACATGGTCAGATTCTGTCTGATGCTGGACGTAGGATCTAGCCATCAAACATAGGAGCCATTGAGAATCTTATCTGCCATGAAACCAGTACATTGATCAGATAGCAAGGACTGTATAAAATGCCAGTGACACGCATGCTAGGGACACTGAAAAAACACCAATGACTGGAAAATATAGGAAGCTAGTGGTGCAAATTAATGAATATGCGATATAGAGTGTTGATTATACCAAGTCAGACTTTTGGTCCAGCTAGCTCAGTCCTATATAACTGGAAGATGCTCTCCAGATTTCAGACATGGATCTGATAGAGCACAAAAGCCATCCACTGTATTCTGAGCTCCCTGATGAACAGGGTTTTTCAGATGCTTATCGGAAGCTCCCCAAAGAGATCAACAAGGGAGGACAAGCCCCTCTAAAATACTGATTGTACCACAGCTCGATGGTAAAGCACATTAAGATCCCAGGGTCAAAGATCCCTGTATGGAGGGTTTGGCAAGATCTTCGTTTGAAACCCTGAAGAGTTTTTGCCAGTTACAGTGGTCCAAGAGTGAGTAATGTTTGGATTTTGGGAACTGCCCACTCAGAATGCTCCAGAGGTGGCACCTTAACCTGCCACAGCAGTCACTACCACAGGAATGAGCTCTTCCTACAGAACTGTGCTTTGATGGCCTGCCAAATAGCTGTTAGGCAGGTAGAATGCAATTCTGCTGGGAAACTGGTTGCACAAGGATTGAGCCTGCCAATGCGATTGGCAGACGATGGTGTGATTTTGTTGGTTGGCTGCAGGCACAGGAGGAGTTCAGTTCTGCTAGAAAACAAAGCACAACCTCCCTGTACATCTTTTTTCCCAGCATGATACTCATGCAATCTGTTATGCACCTTATGGACTTGTCAGTCCAACAAAGAGCTGCAGGGAGCATAATACTGTTGCAGAACAAGATGTAGGGTCCCCATGTGCCTTGTTTCCCAACAGAATGGAGGCCATGCTGCTGAGTCAAGAGAAGTGCGGGGAGGGCACAAAACTGTTACTTGGGGACACGTGAAGTCCACAAACTGCATGTTGCCATAGAGCAAAATGAGGTAAATGGACTAACGGACTGACCTATTATATGGTGCCTTCCTATTTCAGTACACTGGAAGCAACCTTAGCTTCCTCTGTAGTCTGAATCAGACTGCTGAGCTTTCCCTGCTATGTGAAACTGCACAGAAGTGTTAGGTGAGTTCCAGGATATATTCCCTGATCATGAGGTGAGACAGCAATGCTTAACAGAATTGCTGAATAGTGGTGTAGAACATGCCAACACGCAGGTGGTTCCTTGGTGGCCTCCCTCAAAGTAGAAAGCCTAAAGGTCATTTGTTAGAGCCACTGATTCACCAACATGGAATGAAACCTCTGTACATTTGGATTATGTATCATTTGACAAAGGAAACCCAAATTCAGAACTGAGTAAAACAAGCTTTCCACAGCTTGTCCAATTTATTCCATTGTAATTAGCCAAAAGAACTTTGCCTGCTAACTGTGATTTATGAAAGAAAGAGAGAGGGAGGGAGGGAGGGAGGGCGTACAAGTGAGCAAGCAAGCAAGCACTGTCAGAATGCCACAGTCTGGACCAAATTTCATATAATAATCACGGTACTGCACAATACAGAAACCCTGTCTGCACATCACATTGAAATTGTGTTTCTTTGGGTTTCACTTCATGTGTGGGGTCAAGAATCTGATACCTGAACCCTTGACCAAAGATTCACTGTCAGCTCTACCTTGTCCTTTATCATCATGCTGTTTTTTGATCAAGAATGCATCTGGCAACTGCATGGCCTTAGACTCTTCAATGACTGCTTGTCCTTTGGCAATTCAAGTTTTTCACCCTAATTTTTACTTAGTTTAGGCCCTGCTTTTGGAGATAGCAACCACCTTACTACATGACACTGCAGAGCTGCCACTCCCTTGTAGTGCTTTCACCTCTTCTGCTCATTTTGTCCCAATGTCACTCTAGCTGGTTGCTACAGAAAGAATGGATTTCAGATTCAGCCTATGTCTCTCCCCAAATGGCATATAGGTAAGATGTGAAAGGGAAAGCTCAATCTCTGTCAGAAAGGGCTCAGATAACTGCAAAACCAGAGATCAAATAGCAGATCATGAGAGGAACAACCTCTAGCAGACAGAACACCAAATGAGACAGAACACCAAAACTGCTGCAAGTTACTGTAACTTTACTGGAGAACGCATCACCAAGAATAGATTCATGAGAAAGGTCTGCAAAATCAAAAGTAACCATCTCAAAGGATGCTTAAAAGGAAAACACTGCCGAAGCTTCCCCAGGTAAGAAAGCTGCCCTGAAAAGCTTTTCAAAAGCAACCTACACTAGCAGTAGCCAGGTATATGGAGAAATGTTTGTGATCAGGAGCATAATGAACGGGGCCTGAAATCTCACGTAAACTGACTAATGTGCCATGCCGTGCCATGCCATGCCCCACTAAAAGTTTATTTGGGAAGCTGATGTCCTGTTCAAGTGATAATATTTTTCTCCACTGATTGTTTCTACGTAATAAGGAGGGGAAGAAACAGAGTATACTTAAGTCCATTGTTCAGAGCCAGAGAGCCCCTAGTAGAGAGCGCTTGCTTCTAAGCAATTACTGTTGCTTTTGCAAATTGTGTAGCTGCATACCAAAGGCAAGGGTATGAGGGAAAGGGAAACAAGCCAAGACACACACAGTATATGCAACTGGGGGCACTAATGAGGAAATGAGTGCAAGAGGAACACTGATGCTCATTAGTATATTATATTACATTGCCTGGGCTTGTAAATTGTGGGGACTTCAATCTAGGTTACTCCGAGCTGCTATATACATTCTGGGTGGATTAATATGAAATAATAAATATACACATCCAGATACACCACTAAAATATTAAGGAGTTTGCTATCAAACATCACTTTAAAAGTAAGCCCAAATCATTCCACCTGGCAATACTCCCAGGTTTCCTTGCAGCTAGCTGAGGTGAGCCCAGAGATTATTAGTTAGGTTACAATTAATGCAGTTCCAAGGAATCCGCATCAAAGCAACATGGAAGCACACAGGCAAGGAGGAAAACAAGCAGCAAAGGACCCATCAGTCATTCCATTCCTGCTAAGATTTATCATGCAAAATTTAAAAGAGCCTTGCATAACAAGACTCTGAGCTGAAGAAGAGGCAGCTGGGCCTCTCTAAGACACCTGAGGCGCAAGTGACCTTATTCAGACTCTGTGAAGATTTTAGAAAGAACAGGAAAAGAAACCCAAAACAGAACAGCAGCACAACAATACGCAGTGATAAGCAGCTGTGAGGCAAAAGTAAGTCAGATGCTGTGAAAGTGCCTTTGTGAGGAAAAAATTACAGCTGGGGAAGAATAAACAAGCCCTCCTGGTTCTCTACCTGCCATGTTTGCTTGGCTGCTCCCAACAGCCTGCAGGATAAGCTGAAGCTCTCTCACCGCTGCAGCAGCCTCTTCCCCACAGCACATATCGGGCTCCATGACAACCTCCAGGAGGCCAACTCCTACCAGAAACAGATAAGAGATTTCTAACAGCAGCTTTTGATCCCAACACAGAAATTCAAACATGAAAACTCAGAGCATGAAAGTGCGTGAGCTTTGTGTGCACAAACTGGGAACCATTCATTGTTTAATCTCTGTCAAAATGGTTCTCTCTGCCAGTCTGGCATACAAAAAAGCTCAGCTCTCTCCCTTTCTAAGAGAGAAATGATGTCCAGTATTTTTCCAAGGGTAAGGTAGATTGCGCAAAAGCACTTATTTAGGACTCCTCTGTCTGGTAGCAGACATGGGACTTGGAAATCCAGCCACTGAAAAGCCCAACAGGGAGACCAACAGGTTTCAAGGAGCTTAATATTTCCTCCATGAACACCCTGCTCCTTCAACGAGCAACTTTTGCCCTCCTGACTTGGCACCAACATATTTGCATGTGGAGGTAAAGTACAAAATTTATGGTTCAGCATCGAGGCATCTATTATGCCCTCCAGATGTTCTGAACTTCAACTTCCTTTAGCCCCAGCAAACATAGCCAAGGGTCAGGAATGCAATGGTTCAAAACAAACTCTAGGACACAAAGCTGGGGAAGGCTAAGCCAAATACTGATTCAACCAGCCACCTGCAAGTTTCTATTCATTTTATGCCTAAAATTATATTCTGACACCAATTAGATTCCATCTCCTTTTGTATTTGAGAATCTAGACTCGTTAAAAAACAGCTACGGGGGGGGGGGGGTGTCTGTCTCTCTGTGTGTGTCTGCATGCATATACACAGAGCGAGTTAAAACCTATCCCATGGCAGGTAAATAGCAAACTGAACAGGCAGCTAAGCTTCCGTATTTTGAATTTGCCGCCAGACACATAGATCAACAGTCAGAAAGTCATGAATTTCTCTTGAACCCTTCATCAACACAATCTTTCAGCATTCAGGTCTCAGAAATACCTGCCAGCCAACAACATAAATTCAGTGCTGAACTCTCCTAGCCACAGCTTCTGGATTTCATTCTTTCATTCAAATCTTACACGGTCACATTGATAGCAGCTTTCCCAAACCTACCTGCTCTGTTCAAATCAATGAGGGTCTGGCTCTCCAAATCATCATGAAGGCTCTTTCCACTGTCTTGCTCCAGTTGTATCTGTTTGATCCTTACAGTCCGGGTGACCATTTCATTCTGTTTTTTCTCTATAAAGAAGCTATATGACAAGCTCCCATTCACGGCAATGGGAAGCCTTTGCTGAGTGATCTGATAGCCAGCCTGTAGTTAGAATTTCAATAAGCAGTAATCTGCTACATCAAAATCATTACCATCATATTTCAGAATATGGTTATTTTCTTTTCACCATTACAAACTATACATCCATACAACATACATTGCAAACTTAATGTAATCTTTCCCCACCTCCATCATTCCCCCTTAGAATGACAACTTTTTAAAACTCACAGATAATGAACAACTACAAGCATCAGGAATTCAATTTTGTCACTGAAGTCCTGTTTTTCATATCCAAGTAGTCAAAGGCTTCTTGGAATTATTATGAGCCTAAACCGGTTTTTGTGGCCATGCCAAATGAGGGCAGCTGGGTATTGTGGGGCAAATTTCTTGGGGTGGGGCATTTGCAAGAGAGAACTGACTGGTGGGAGATCCAGCACTGCTTCCGACTTGCTGACTCTCCTTTTCAAATGCCCTTTCCTGCACTGGTGTTCCACTTCTTGTTGAGAACATCACATGTCCCTGATAGCACACTGGTCATTTTGTTGAACATGCCACATGGCAGAAGGTGTTTGGGCGGATGTAGCTCGCATCTCTTCAGGATTACAGAGTTGGAAGGCACTTCCTAGGCCACCTAGACCAAGGCCCTGCCAATGTAGGAAATCCACTCCTACAGACAGGGATGTACTGATTTTGTTACATCTGTTCCATCTGTGTTTCGTAGACTGGCAGGCATCTTTTGTTCCATTCTCTGCTCACTGATGGAATCAGATTCTGTTTTTATTCCATGTACTCAAGTGCACATTAGCACTAAGAGCCATTTGTGCAATGCTCACTCCTAATAAAAAGGTTTGCAAGTCTGCTGAATCTGCATAACACAGAAAAAGCTGGTTCACTTCTAGCCAGATTCACAGAATTCCAAAGTCATTTGAATCCATTACAGATTTAGCTGACATCCCTATCTACAGTATCCTTGATAGAGAACCATCCAGCTTTCATGCAGAAACCTCTAACAAAGGAAACTTAGCCACCATCTCAGGGAGTCTGTTCCTCTGTCAAACAGATCACACTGTCAGTTTGCTCTTCCCAGCATATAGTCAAAATCCTTCTATAATTTGAAGTTAGCCTACTCTCTGGAGCAGCAAGGAACTAATTTGTTTCATCATCTGTGTGATGGCTCTTCAGCTCCTTGAATATAGCTTTCATATTGCCTCTTAATTGTCTTTTCTTTAGGTCTAAGAAAATGCTGTAAGTAGCAAGTTGTTACAATGCTCTCCTATAAAATTGGGAGTGAGCCAAACTTCCTTTAATATCCAGAAAAACACTCCAATTTTGTTTATTTTCAGAAAGCCTTTGCAGGTAGCATGATGTGGAATTTCAAATCCCAGCTCAAGGACAAACCCACACTAGAGTCAAGAGCAACTGCAGAGCTCCTCTTAAGAAAAATGCCCCTGAGGTTTGCTCATGTATGCTTATTATACACCTTTTCCCAGCAGAGCTGAACATTCTCAAGGGTAGTGTGGACAGTAACCACTTTAGCCTTTTTGTTCTTTTTCTAGGCACAAGAAGATCTGACAAGAGATGAGATCGCGACATCATTAAAGGCTGCTCTTAAAGAAGATTCAGCTGCTAGAATATTAATGGATGTAGCCAGCTGGGATCATATCACTCCAATCCCAAGGGAGCAGCACTGCTTGCCTTTTTTCTTCCAGTCCCATTTCAAAGTGCTGGCATTCCTTAAATGGCTTGGAAAATAAATTCTGGAAGATACTTCTCCCTAAAGCAGATTCCCCCATCTTAAAATCTGGGAGGAGGGGGTTCTTCTTAAGGTGACTTGCAAACCTTGGCCTTATTCATATGGTCACCATGGAAAAGGAGGCACACTGGCTCCTTTTCTCCACCTGCTCTCCCATGCTCGAAGCATTCAAGGTGAAACTAGACCATCACCTGAGTGGGATGGAGTAAATTGGTGTCCTGCAACATCAGGGGGTTGGACCAGATATGTCTTCATGGCTCCTTCTGACTCTACTATTCCATGATTCTATGCCAGTTGTGTGCCTTATTACACATGAGTCTCTGGGTTGTTTTCAACTGTGCAGCGGGTTGGTTTCTTTTCCCTGGTGATGGTACAAACTCAGAAAAGAGCTCTCTGTTCTCAAGCCCCATTTGTTGAAGCACCCTTTCTGTGGAGGTGCAACTGATGCCTGCCTTGCAATCATGTCATGTCCAGGCAAAACTAGTCTGTTCGTCTGGGCTTTTTATACTAATTAGTCTGTCTTATGGGGCCTTTTGTTGTTTCCATTACATTTTATGAGGTTATAATTATTATTAACCAACTTATCTTTTGGTGAAGGATAATGTGTCAATAGCCAAATAAATATGTTTCATTTGACTCTAGATGATCTTAGCAACTCACTACTTCAGTCTAATTCCCCTCACTAAAACACCCTTCTGCTCTCCGAAGAGAAAATCAGAAATAGAGATGCTGATGTAGAAGTGAACAACAACGATTTGTTAAGCATGATTGTAGCACTGGCTGTTTAGCCAGTAAGAAGCATCAAAAGACATCACAAGTATCTTTAGCAATAAAATCATGGCTTCAAGCAGAAATACAGAGCCATAATAAATCTTGTCTTTTTGATGGATTTGAACAGACCAGCTTTTCTTTGTCAAATGTAATAAAGCAAACCTTGACTCCAAAGCAGGGCTGATCCTAATATAACTGCAATTTGTAACATACACAGATATTACTTTGTGAACTTAGGTTTCCTTTATTCACTTTAGCGATCAGTGGGATTTAAAAGCAGAATGGGGCATTTTCAATCCTTGAAAGTAATAGGAGTGAATGCCTGTGATGTCTCTAGGTCCATAGTATGTGTTTGTGATATGCACATTTTAAAAGATCAATATCGTGCTGTTTGTCTTAGACAATTAGTGGAAACAGAGGAAGTCTGGCCCTAGCTGTGCCTTCTCCCAATTCAATTACCCAGAGCCACTGGAAACATGAGGCACAGCACTGGAGTCAGCAATCAGGACAATCATCTTCAATCAGCAAGAGTCTGGCTACAGCTGCCTATTCATCAGGGCATAATGCCACATGCAGCTTGGATGGACAAAACAGTAGAAGAGAACAAAAAATAATCTCTTCTCCTGGGCTGTTCCCCCATCCGTTTGCCAGGCTTGTCCCTCTTCCGATTTGCTGGGGGACAAAGCTCAATACATACTCACAGGCAGATCTGCATAGAAATAGTGTTTCCTGTCAAACAAGGACTTCTTGTTTATGGTGCAGTTCAGTGCAAGGCCCGTTGTCACTGCCGCTTCTACACATCTCCTGTTGAGAACCTAAAGAAACACAACACACGACTTCACTCAGATACCTAGAATGAAACAAACAGCTCTCCCACGCACTGGCTTTAACACAGTGTGCATTCCATTTTGCTTGCCCTCCAGAAGCATTCTCTCTCCGCTCATGTGTGGGAAGCGCAGGCTTAGCAGCTAAAATCTGAACTCATGTGCATATCATGGTGGGAGGAGAAGGGAGTGTACAGGTCTCTCTGCCGTTCAGTGAGGAAACACAAGCTTTGAACAGGTGACACATGCCGGGTTTAAGGTCTGCCCCCATTGCTTTAGGGCTCCCATACGGAAGACCTCAAGAGTTGATATTTACCCAGCAGCAGCACAGAGAAATCATTGGTCCATCTTCACAGAAACACTTTCGAACTTGATGAATAAAGACTTTACATTGCCACTTTGCAATCAGTTCAAGTGGTTGGGAGATGAGAGCAAGTTGTACAAAGATAGCTACAATTTATGGTTAATATATATGAAGGCAGAGTTAAAATGAGAGAGAGAAACCTGCCTTCACTGCATCTACCTAGGTCATGTTGTTACTACCAGTACTTACTGCTAGTAACAATAGTAAGTAACTATAATACACAGTTGTACAGAATGTACAAAATCCTTCAGAGGTGCTATCAGTTACCCTAGAACCTTTCTACAAAAGAGGCCCAAGTTATTAAGCCTGTATTGCCCATTATATGGAATTGGGTCACATTCAATACAAATATTGCTCAAGGCTTCCCAAGCATGGTCCTATTTTTGTCATAGTTTACTTGCTTATTTTTAAATAGAAGTGACCCACATTTCCTTTTATCACTGTATGCCACCCAAAGGCTCATCTAATGCTGGGCTACAACTCTTGACCATCCCTGATCATGCTGACATGAGTGCTAGAACTGGTATGCCACAACAGCTGGGCGGCTGCAGGTTCCTACCTCTGCAACAGAGGAAAAGGTGTGTGTGTGGCTGGGAGCAGCAGAGTACTAAAACAAGCAGATTTTAGTCTTACTAAGAAAATGGGTATATCTATAAAACAGGAACAGGTGGAAGCATGACCGGCACAGCACACAACTTGTCTGCTTTTGTGGAAAGCCTAAGCAGCCATTCCTTGTTAAAGCGCCAGGAACAGAGGAAGGGACTGACCTGCAACATGCCCAGGCCCACAGTACCGTCACAGTAGCTTGCTGCCAGAAACCACTTGTAGGCTCTTAACCATAGAAAGGCTTGTATTTTATTTTCTTCTACAAGAATCACAGTATATAGTCCCCCTTGCAAAAGGCACTTGGCACAACTTGCTTAGAAAACATTTTTGCTTCTCCTTGACAATATTCAATTCTGTGAAAAAGATAAGCTCTCACAACTTGCAATAAATAAGTGAAATCCAGTGTCAAAACCCAGCCTCTGTTCTCACACTCTCATGCTAGTAGATGTCAATTTATTGATGCAGCAGGCTTACCTTCCAGTACCCTTAGGATTTGGAGTGGAGAAAACTCAGGCTGAATGTTTGCAAATGCTTGAAATGAGACTTACAAAGCTTACAAAGCTGCCAGAAAAATATATAAGGGGTTGGCTCCTTATTTCTTTCCTTGTGCTTGTTCAGGCTAATTTGACCATAATTTTAGTTAGGTTTTAAGTCACAGGTGGGTGACCTACAGTTCTATGGCTGCATACTGCCCTCAGCCTTCCTTCAAAAGCTCTCTGCGACTGACCAGTTCAGCCTTCTGACAAGATCGTGCCGTCCTGTTCCTGGCAGCTGGGTGGGTGGGAAGGAGAAAACGGGAGGAAAGACAGTGGCAGAAAGAGAAAAGGCATGTTGCAGCGTGGCCAACATGCTGCTCCTGACAGATAACTGCAAGGGAATGCAGAGCTGGACGGAAAATGGCTGCCTATTCCTGATTTAAATTAGGGCTGAAATTATTCATTTCAGACAGAAAGAAAGACTCTTACTGCAACTCCCAAGCACTCCTCACTTCTATTTCAAAATAGAATCAGTCTCAGCCCATACTCAGGAGCACTGGAACAACAACTTACTAAATGCATCTCCCTTCATCCTCCTTCCATCCCAGACTTCTGCATGGTGTTCTCTAGAGCAGGACTGATAACTTATAGCCAATCTCTAGATGCCCTCCAACTGCCAACTCTTACACGCATCTACATATAGTGAATGCACAGTACGAGGAACAAGTCTAGCTATACAGCAGAAAGTTCACCTTCATGTGGGAGTGGGCAAAGTTTGCTTCCTAAAAACAAGAGACTGTCAATAAATGAAGTGCACTGCTCCAAGTCTTATCAATGCTAGGAGAGTCGTCGGTGAACTCCATCTCACCTCACCCCAAAAGGCTTCAGGGATTTGGCTTCAGAATTTCTTAAGTGATACAGCAAAAATCTGAAAATAATGGGATAATAGATAGCAACAGTATTTTGGACACTTAACTAGGATGCCATTAATTTTTAGTGCAACTACTGTGGTTCCTTGGGAATTTTATTGTGTTTGGAAAAAATAGTTAGAGCTAAAATAAAATGTGTATAACATCCAACAGAAATGCTTATTAGCAGCAGAATGGACCCAATTAGTCCTGGCTTGAAAATCAAAATGAAATATTGCAGATAATGTTGAAGAACTAAATTATTTTAGTGTCAAAATAATAGTTTCTTATGCACCAAGTGTTTCCAGTTTCAGCAGTTTTATTTTCCAAACCAAAAAAAAACCCCAATAATTGTTACTACCAGGAAGCTTGCTCGCTTGTTCGTTCTCTCTGTCTCTCTCTCTCTCTCTCTCTCTCTCTCTCTCTCTCTCTCTCTCTCTCTCTCTCTCTCTCTCTCTCTCATTTTTCATTATTCAACTGCTCAAGTATCTACAAGGAAACAGGTTGAAACTCAAATGACCAACTAAAGCCTGATTTAGGTAGATACAGCCATAGTCAGACATAGCCTCACTGAATTTCCTGGGCCTTCCTCCTAGGTAAGGGTATGCAGGCTCTTTGACATAATAGGCCAAGGATAGTGAAAGTCAATATCCTAGTGTAGTGCCTACTTTAAAGCTTGAAAACTATGTTATTTGTTGGTCTCTCTCTCTCTCTCTCTCCATCTATATATATCCATCCATCTACCCACAAGCACATTTCTTTTAACTGCCTGTCATGCTCCCACATCATTATTGCCTGTAGATTAGGAATGCAGGGGAAAGAATCAGATACACTTGAACTCTTTTATTACTGCAGATCAACTAACAGAAATATCCAGAGCACCATCTGGTACTGCTGTATTAGATGAGCTTCACTTGTTTAGGTATTAAGATGCAAGATGGTGGGACAAGATCGACCAACCCTTTGTGTTCTTAAACATTGCTTGTTGCATCTAATGAGGAGGGGATGGGCAGCTGAGTTTGGGAGGTTGTAAATTGCTCCTTGATAGAGCTGGCAGTATCAGCTTCCTCAAAAGAGGCACTAATCAGGCTACTTTGGAATAAACCTAACCTAGACCCAGAAGTGAAGAAGAACAACTATAGAATGGTTGCTAGCATTCCCTTCTTGAGCAGTGTGCTTCAGCAGATGCTTGCTGATCAGTTTCGGGCATTATGAGATGAAATTGACTTCCCAGATCCATTTCCATCTTGCTTCAAGCTAGGTTTCAGGATACAAATTGCATTGGTTGTGCTGTGGAATGATCTTTACTGAATGACAAGGGAAATATGGCTCTCTTGGTTTTCCATACCTTTCAGCAGCTTGTGATACCACTAGCCATGCCATCTGTCTGTAGCAAGTTCCACTCTTTATCGAAGCCCATTTCAAAGCATGGGTGTTGACTTTAAAGCCCTAAATGGTTTGAGGCCACAGCATCCATAGGTACATCTCCTCCCCCATATCCCTGTTTGCACCCTCAGTTGCTTGGCAGTGTACCTCCAGATGCTCCCAACAAAGGAACCCGGTACATTGCTACCAGAGAGGAGGTGTTCTCAATGGAGTAGCGCACTCTACAAAAAGGTTAACCTATCACCTGTGTTGCTATCTTTTGGATGTCAGGCAAAGATCCTTCTTTCTTCTATTCATTTTAGAGATCTAGGTTACCACAACTGATTTATCAGATCCTGTGCTGTATTTCAATCTTTTACATTTTTGTATTATATTTATGTGTTTTAAATGGTATTTTAACTGGTTATAATCTACCCAGAGATCAGTTTTGGGGTGGCTTTGAAGTACACAAAATAAATAAATAAATAAATGTTCAATGGGAATCCAAAATAATTTAGAGACAGAGCTGCTCAATAAGTATGAACACAGATTAAAATCTGGCATCTTTAAACACTGGTATGTTAAGCATACCAAATTAAAGTTGAAAATACTGATAGAGTATGGACTTGTTACGAATGCATTTTTATGTTATTGTTAGTTTATATTTTAAATATTTAACATGCAAGGGGAAAATGACATACCAAAAATACTTCTTCACAGTGTGCTTCACATGGCAGGCACAAAGTATAGAAGCCTCTTACTATATGTGCTAGTCAATCATCATGCAACTGTTTATGAATTTGGGTTGATGCAATGCATAAAAGACTTACAAATGATATGAGCAATGCAAGTAAGTGCATTTCACTAGCTATCAATTGCATCATTAACTTTGATCCTTGGGCTGACTGTCTAAAAGAAAATGACACACAAATATGGAGGTAGATAAGTGAGCAGTTATGAACACTTAGGAAAGACCAGTGGAACATTTAGATCTGGCAACAGGACTTCCTGACAAACAATTGGGCATTGTAGGACAAGGAACGGGTCCTTGGCCAGATAATCTGCTGATGTGGATTTCACAATCCACGGAGTTACAGAAATTAACTAAAAGAAATGTGGAACTTTAATGTAGATGTCTAGCAGCTATTACAAGTTTATTGATTCACTAATCCACCACAACTGTGTTGTTAGAAAGCAGCTCTTGCATAATAAAGCCCTCAAACATTGGTGTTTGTGGAAAAGAGAAATTCAATAAAGGCAGTCCTGCATTACCAACACAAATTGGAAAAAGAGACATTCCCAGCACTAATCATCAATGTATTTACACTGGTCAAGTTCAGTGAAAGGGCTGGATCCATCTCACAGATAAATATACCCATCACATTCCATCTCATGGTACTTCAAATGAGATGCCATAAATATTTGCATAAAGGGTTTAAGAAACTTAATAGTGTACACTGATGTGTATTCTTTTATTCTGCTGATGAAAACTAATTTAGGATAGATCAAAGCAACACTCAGATAATTAAGTACAGCATAATGAAGACTAACCCACTGCCCTCCCTTCAAAAAACAAAACAAAACAGAAAAACTAACAAAGTTTACACACATGCAGACACAAAACCTTCCCTGGTTAACAGAATTATTCTTCCCCATCTTCCTGGCTCATCATGCTTTAGTCATCAGTCCCCAGGTGACAGATTAATCTTCTAAATTAATTAACTATTCAAACGGAACTTTGGGTTCAAAATAATTAAGCAGTGCACTCTTCTAGTTTAACTTTTTCCCCAGCTATAAAAAATATTGGCACACAGCTGGGACTTGCAAAACTCTCAGTGTTGACCTGATTTGACACCCAGTAAAATCAAGATGAATCTTATATTGATCTTCAACTGTGAGAACAGATTTAAGCTGTATGAACATGATCTAGGAATTTCCTGAAGGATCCTGTTGGTGACTTAAAGTGGGACACCAAATACAGATGGAAAGTTGGCCAAACTCTCCACCAAGCAGATGCTCAGCAGCTGGTGACATCCAAAATGTTTTGTCCTCCCACACCCTTGCTGTCAAAGAAGGGGGGTTGGCATCCTAGAAAAGTTGTCTGAGTGCTTAATTTCTAAAAATGACCCTTGTTATCCAATTCCAATGTACCCTTCTTTCAGTTAACACATCCTCAAATGCCTTCTCTGGCTCACTTTTCTTTAATTCCACTGCCCTCCTTGTGCAAGCCTCAAGTTTTGAACCAAGTCCCTTGCCACAGTTAACTGCTTTCCATCCAAATTCCTCTCATGAACTAAAATGGTTCACACTTCCCACCCTCTTCAGTTTTATACATCCCAGTCATCAAGTCTATATATACTTTTCCTGCCATACCCTCCAGATGTAAATATCGAAGTCCATTCTCTAGAATGCTCTCAACTCTCCTGTACTCTTCCACAATCACAGATGCCTGCACGGATAGTTTAAACTGAATGGTGAGACAGCTTGAAGTGCAAGTATGCAGAATTAACTACTGATGAGTTTACACATAATGAAAGCAAATCCTAGATTAATTAACCCAGGATTTATTGCAGAGCATAACCACTGCCATTTTGAATATGCAAACTGTTCAGACTGGCTCTATGCCATGTGAACTCAACCTGTATGGGTTAATCTTGGCTTAAATGCCCCAACCTTAACATGAATTGGTCAGTCCATCTGAACACATGTTCAAAAGTACACTGGAGGCTAAAGTAGAAAAGCAGGGCTAGACACAAGGCAGACTGAGATCTACTGGCAGACCTCTGGACAACTAGCAGTAGACTGGCAAGGGCTTCTGGCTCCCACTGGCAGGAACAACAAAATGAAGAAAAACTTGGGGGTAATCAGCAATGGACTTCTGAGTGAAAAGACTGAGCACAGGTTATTTCTGAATGCAGTCTGGAACAAAATGTGCTCACTCTTTTTTAATTCCAGCTCTTGTCCTTTCTACCAGACTCTGGCTGTTGGTTCCTGGGGTTCTAACAAAAAAACAAGAGCCCTTAAAGCAGGGGTCTCAAGCTCGCGGCCCGCGGGCCAATTGCCAGGATGGGCGGGGCATGGGGGAGGGGCCCTGCGGCCTTCAAAGCGCCGGCCGCGGGATGAGCGGCCCACCCCCCCCGCGGTGGTGGAATACTTGATGCGGCCCAGCCTCACCCAGACTCTACTTCCAGCGGCCCCCAGGTCAGTTGAGTTTGAGACCCCTGCCTTAAAGTCTGCCACATTGATCACTGGCACCTACATGTTCCCACCTGAGGCAAACCATTATGAATGAAAGATTTAAGGCATAATTCTATCTATGTCTAAACAGAAAAAAAGTTTACAGGTTCCAGCATGTTTCATGCCGGCTGGGTTATGCTGGGAATTAAAGGCCTTTTATTTCCTAAGCATGGACAGGGTTATACACTTAGAAAGAAAACGGTGCAATAGGGAAGGTTTAAAATCTCCACCCCAGTCCACAGCAACAGCAGCCAGATGGGCCAGTTCTCCCACTTTCCAAAGTACTTGCAAAAATCATACCAGAAGTTTCCCAATTTTCAGTTTTTTGCTACGAGAAAATTTGGAAATCCCTGTATCAATATTAATAAAGCCTTCAATTGAAAACAATGAGATTTACATATATGCTTACTGTTTAATTTTAATGGATTTCTTCTTTTTTATGCTAACTTTAAAGAATTCAGAATTTTAGGCCTAAAGCAACAGAAGTCAAATTGTATTTTAACCAATATTTTGTTAGCTAACTTGTGCAATTATTAAAATATTCAGGCATATTAAAGCACACAGTTAAAAACAGAAAACCTGCATAGCTAAAGGTAACACCACCAACCTTGCTTAATACAGTAAATATTATGAATCTGTAATTTATTTAAATGTATTTTTAAACTTTTAAAGGATATCTTTAAGGATAAAACCCATTAATACTAATATGGAATAACACAGGTTCATATCACACTCTGATGCCTGAGCACAAATATTTTAAAATATCCATGTTCAACTTAAATACTAAACACTGCAAAGGAATTTTTTTTCTCCTGATGCAGATAAAAAGCCTCTGCTGGAGGTGAACAAGAGTAGATCACTTTTTTATTAGGTTAGTCATCAAGCTAATAATCAGGAGCTCTTATCTCAAAAGGAGCCACTTTCAGCTTAAGTTGAAGAATTCCCAGTAGGAAACAACTATAAAAGAGTCAAATAGTTTCTGTTAAAATGTACAGAAATCCACAAGAATATGGCTAGATACAAGCAAGGAAGCAAGCAAACATAAACACCTGAATGTACCTGCACTGCATTTTTCCAGTTAGTTCAGGTACATATTTATCCTTCACACTTTACTGTAGGAAACTGGCAGACACAAAGCAAACACCAGTGCAATGTCAGTGTGAAGAGATTCTTTGCAAGAATTTCAACAAAGATTTCATGCATCAAAACTCAGTACCTCACTTGCTGTAGTACAAACACAAATCCATTGTTCTTGGCTGAGAACAATGGAAGCGGTCTTATGGATAAGAGGTCTCCAATACTTCAGCCCTATTCCTGGGACTCTGATCCATGTGAAATCAATAAATACATCTTGGATCTTTTCAGCTTTTATGTAACATAGGCATTGCTAGTGATTTACAAATAACAGCAAGACTGCCTTCTCCTGTACATCTTTATCTGAACCATAAGATCTTCAGTTGACCTGCTCTGAGGGCCTCCAGCAAATGAGATGAAGCAAGTGATCACTAGGGAGAGTGGCATACCCTGATTTCGGAACTATCCTTTAAAGAATCCCATTTACTGCCATCCTTATTGCCCTTCTGGTACAATGTTAGGCCTTTTAAATATTTCATGTATTTTAGCATGGGCCTCTAAGTTTGATGCTTTTAGTTCTAATATATTTGGTTACTTACAGTTAACTGCAAGTGTCAAAGAAAATTAAAAAAACAATGGCAAAAGGCTATCTTCCTTTCCTAAAAGGCAACACTACACTCTTAAATGTGAACAAAAACACACCAGTATTTTCAAGGGTTATTGCTTTTTATTGATGAATACTCAATATATGGGCTTGAAGTTTCTGAATGACATCATTGCTCAGTTTCTCACCTACTGGTAGATAGATATAGATAAACACACACACACACACCCCGGTTTGAATCTAATAACCCAGCATTTTAGGAAGAATAAACATCAAAACCAGCCACTAAGCCCAGGGAACCAACCCCACAATGCTTTTTCCTGTTTCAGCAGAACAAGAAATTATTTTCTCATGTGAATACCCAGTATAAGAAATACAGAGATAAGAACATACCTTTTCTGTTTATGTAGCATTGCATAGCTGCTCTGTCTAAACAATATTTATTTATTTAGAGTTGTCTAAAGGGATAAAAATGTAAAAAGTATTGTTTCTCTGGTAGCACATGATGGTCATTATTATCATCATCATCAATAACCAAAAAATAAAGATGGCTGCCCGTTCTATAGCCTTCTTTGAAAGTTAGGAAATAGAGAAAGGAGCAGAGAACATAGAGTTTTCTTTTTAAATTCAAGTCTGTATTAAAGACTGAATTCTAACTTACCGGTAGTGTTCCTGGTAGAGAAGCATCAAAGAAAGATACTGCAGAGTTAGGTGGTGCTGCAAACTGGACTTCTGAACCAGAAAAAAGCTTTGAGTTGGATGTGATCTGTGCATGAATTTCCAGGCCCACTACTCCTACCCAGGGAACATCACTAAAAGAAAATTAAAAAAGGATATTCACTAGCTGGAGAAATGCAATTTGAATTTCTAGAGCAGCTAGGGAGAAATACAGACTCCAAAGAGATCTGAGTTCAACAGCCCACCTTTGGTATATAATGAATGCTGAGTTATGCTGTGAAATGTTTTCATTAAACACTGATGAAAATTGTACAAAAAGCAACATGCTAGAGAAAGGTCTTTTAAAAACGTTCATAGCCTAAACAACTTTTAAAATGTGTTTTTCAAAAGTAAGATTTGCCAGGCAGGAGGAGTTTGTTGGACATGTGCCCAATTTTGCAGCCAGTAGAGATTATGAAATAGAAGATAAATATTAATTGATTTCCTTCAAAGTTTGAGAAATCTCCAACAGACAGGTGGCATATTCAATTATGCATATGCTGTCAGATGGTCACTTTCAAGCTGGGAAGGTGGGTCTACAGAGCACTATTAGCACTGCATTAGCATAAACATCAGTAGTCTGGCAATAGAGAAATCATCTTTTTAACTCAAGAGATCATTCTCTGAAAACCCTGAACAAGAACAAGCACCTCCCTATCTGCTGAAAATAATTGCTGCTCTCATATCCATAATCTTCATATGAGCAAGAGAGCGGAGTCATCTTTACTGCATGAACTGCTTGAGAGCTTCTGCAAGTAATTATCTGGCCTTGTACAAAGACAGACACAAATATAACATTTCACTAATGAAGTCAAGCTTATGGCATAGCAATGATAGAAGATCAAGAAGGGAGATATGTGGAATACAGGAAAACACTAAGTACATACATCAAATACAGTATTCCTTTCAAATAAAGAACCCTTTTTTTAACAAGACAAAGTTCAAGCTTTTATATTTCTCCACAGTATAATCTTTTTAAAAAGTAGACAACCTTTAGATTGAGTAAGATTATTTTTTGTTTATCAGTTTATCTGAATATGCAGAACTAAAAAAATACATTGAGAAAGGTTTAACAGTATTTCACAGCATCATGTGCTGTCTAGAAAATGTGCTGGGGAATGTGCATCTAGAAAATACATGAGTGAAATGAGTAAAACGAGTAAAATTAAGATGGGGGAATAAAAAAGGTGTTCTAGGCAATACATTAAGATGCCCTTAGCCCTAACCAAGCTGCATTTATTTAGCAGCAGTTTCATCACATGCGCTTTGGACTACACTTTAATTCCTGCTCCAAATGTGCTGCTTTCCTCCATTGATAGGAAAAAAGAACAGTGTGGAGGTATGGGCGTCATATAATTAGTACGTGTTTATATTGCCGCACACGGATGCACTTGGAAGGTGTTGCATATCGAAGCTTCCACACACTAAAACAATTGCAAAATGTGCGCTTGCATTATTTTCGCTCGAAGCAATGAATGCCCCCTCTCCCCCATACGGCAGAGGAAAACAGCCTTTTATAACAAGGTCCTCAACCTACCCGGCAAATCAACACACGTTGATGCACGCTGATATCTTCAGCCGGTGAATACCAGCTTGAATCTACCACCTGCATTATACTGTCCGTACTATTTGAAACAGGAAGAATAAACAAGGCTTTCGACTGTCACGTTTTATATTCTACTTGTCGCCTCAATCCAGATCTCTGTGATATTCGAACACCCAAATAAATAGATATCCCATGCAGGGGAAAGCACTCGAGATCTTGGGAGACTGATAACAAGGAGAATGTAAGCCTGCGGAGCCGAGATGGGCTGCCTTTTGCGCAATCCTACTGCAGGACGGGAGCGGAGACAGACAATCCCGCCAGCGGTCGACAAGCACAAGTTGTTCTACCACCCACCCATACACCCAGTGCCAGGCCCAGAGATTTCCTGCCGTACCAGTTCCGTTTCGCTGCAGTCTCCCCAGCACTCCGGCAGGGCGCGCTAGTGGCCACCGGCCGTAGCCGGTCACGGAATTCGACGACATTCCCAGTGCAGAGCTTCCCGCCCCAAAACCAGCGCCAGCAGCGCCGCGCCATGCGCGCCGCCATTTTGCTCGGAATTGGTGAAACATCAGCTGATCCAACCGCTCTCACGGGGCCTCCTGGGAAATGTAGTCCCGAGCGTGCGCAGGCTAGGGAAAAGAAGGGGGGGAAACTTCATTTCCCGTGATACACGGCGACGGATCCCTCTGAATCGAATCCATAGAGGAGAGGGAAAGGGAGTGAGGGCAAGTTCGTGGGGTGTAAGAGAAACCAGGTCAATGGTTCATGCTCCCTCTGGTGGCAGATGGGTGGGGAACAAAATGATGGTCCTCTGCTCGAGGTTCGGGAGACATGGAAGAGGATGCTTTCTCCGTCCACCGAGTTACCTGCACACGTCTTTTCCTTATATTTGGTTATATCTCAGCTGACTATAATCTTGCTTTCATGTGGACTATCACATTGGATCAGGCGATGACCTCGTGACTTGAAAGAGACTCGGTAAACTGAAAGCATGAAAATTAAAATATTAACATGTATACAACACATGAGTTTCCCTTCTGTAGGAAATTACTGAGCAGATAATTCAGAACGCCTCCTTCTCCCTGGAGCATCCATCCATAATTTGATCAAAATAAGCATGCTTGATTATAGAGGTTCTTCATAGCTGTTGCAGGCTGATTTAATTTTTGTTCAAATCTTGCCAGGTCCTGTATGTTTCCATGGTTATGACACGTGTTTATTCACCACAAAGATAAGTGCTTAATAATGATGGTATGTCATCAGTCAGTAGTAGGTGTTTATTATAGAGCAGCTGGGATACTTTAATAGGCCCTATAAATGAAATAGATTATTCTTCTCTCTCTCATTCACCCTAAGGGGGTGAATATTTGTTACCTTTCCATAACAGTTTGATACTTGACTATCTTGAAGCTTGTATATGCCCCAGAAAAGACTGACAGTCAATAGATAGGGTACCAGATATGTCAGTCTTTCCTTATGGTATTTGTATTCTACTGCTGTTGTCCAATCTCTGGACTATTTACCAATTCGGAACACTTTCCCAAGTCCATTTTACCATGTGCAAATGACAAATAACATCTTATGACGTTCCCTTTACTGTGTAGAAAAGCAGAACAAATTCTAGTTTGCACTATACATGCAACCTTAATGAGATGGTAGAGGTTTGGATGGACTGCACAATTGCAGACAGCAGGTGGGCAATCACATTTTTAGTTTCCCGTATTATAAGGCAGGGCCTACATAAACCTCCCTGCCAATAGAAAACTAGCACAGCAGAAAGCAAGCTGGGTTAAAACTCCTCTTCCTTGATCTGCTACCTTTTTATTTGTTGGGAATAAATAATGGCTAGAATTGAGATATGACATGCTCTACTAACAGCCAGAAGTGGTACGGCGCACTCTACACACTTCTGCTGGTCTTTATCAAATAATTCTGTGGCAAGCGTAAACCAGTCTTGATTCTAAAGTTTTTACAGCAGCATTTGCATCAATGTCTTGGTACTTACTTGCTAATTCCCCAATAGGTGAAGCTTTCTGGGTGGCTCACAACAAATAGACATTTTGAACAAATTGGTTCTGTGGTTTTACTTAGGACTGGAAGGAAACAGTAACTTTATATTGTGTAAACAAATGTGTAAGCAAATACCACAGATGACTACTGCATAAATAAATGGTGTAAAAGAAAAACAGAACAACAGATCTATATTCTATATATAAGTGGTCTTGAGGCTTCCTGTGTATGTTCATTAAATGCTGCTTATGTCATCTTTGTAGGAGACCTGCTTGAAAAGATAATGAATGAGTCATGGGCACTTTGATTCAGTAGCTGTGATTTTATCCAGTGGAGGACAGTGGAGTACATAAGCATGCGGCCTTCACTGGTATTTTACATCCCAGATTGGTAAAGGAAGCTGCAGGAATGGGGCTGTCTTTTTCTTTAGCAAAGAAGATGGTATCCTACAGAATAATTGCCCTAGTTCTGCCTTTTGGGCTCCAGATAATTATAAAGTGGATGAAATTAATGAGGCATGCAGTGAAATCTGGATTTATGGAAAGCCAGGGAGGTAAGGTATGGATGGTAAAGCATTCTTCATATTAAAAGTGCTATATAAATGATACATGCATGATTATAAATTCTCCATAATGACTGATGTTCCTTACCTGGCTGGCACTTATGTGCATCAGATACTTGTTTACATTTAATGGTTCCATCCAGACTAAAGTTGATGGCTGTTTGTTTTCGGAAATTCTCCTCTTGCTCTGATCAGGATGAGCTGCACTATTCTTCCAGCAATAAAAGAAGTGGAGGCAATCCCTCAGTGACATTTCTGGAAGGGATAAGGACCATTTGGAATCTTATATCACATACTGTAGCAGAGCCTTGAAAGGTTTATTAGAGTTTCTAGTGTGTGTGTTTTATTGTGAGAAAAGCTCAGTGTTCCAGCACAGTGGGGACATCAATGGAAGCATGAGCTCTCATCACTGCTGGTTTATCAGTGGATTGAGTGTTCGCATATAAATATCTTCTGGTTAAAATACTCCTTTTCCACTTGTATCCATGAAATCACCACTGGGTAGGAGCTACAAATAAAAACAGTACATTCATATACAGTACAATTCAATATGTATCTGCTCAAAAGTAAGCTCCATTTAGTTCAATTGGAATTTATCTCAGGTAGAATTTCTCCTGTTTAATTTAGCAAGCATGATGACCTAAAATAAAAGAGTCTAACTTTATTTTAGACTCTTAATATTAATCAAATATTAACAGGACAGCCAAAGTGATGCTGAAGTAGAATTTTATTAGGGAATGGAGGCAAAGTAGATCATGAAGCTATACATTCTACACTTTAGGTAGTATTTGCTGTTCTGTATGAGTTGATTTTGCATCAGATGATAGCGTCCACTGATCCATGCCTTTTGTGTCATGTTGATGAATTAGGCTTGCATCTGAAGTACACAAGCATGCAGCTGCACTAGAAGCAGAGGGGCACCCAGTGGGTTGGGATCTGTGTTTCTAGGTTACCTCATGGTGTACCATTCATCACTAAAGAGACCCAATGCCCACTGCACTACTACTTTTTGCATTGGAAAGAATTTAGCAATCAGTAACTGCTCTTCTATGCTTGTCAAAAGTTCCCAGCTGGATCAGAGGTTTCTTTGATGAGATGTGAGGACTAAAGCTCATGGTGGGTCGTCAGCTTAGCTTAGGAGGTTTGTTTCAGGTATATGTTTATGTATCATTACTGATTTAATGCCAGAAGAGTTTGCCAGAAAATACATTATTCAAGCACCTAATGGGGCAAAGGAGGTTAGCTAGCGCAACTTCTCTCGAAAAGAATGACCATTCACTGTATTCTTTGTATGGGTGCATTAGTGGTCCCCAACACAGTGTCTCACAGGGACTTCCAACAGCACCTGTGAAGCTCTCTGTCCCTTCAAAACCCATTTGTTAATAAACTGAAGAACATTTGTGGGCCAGTTTCAGCAGAGAAAAAGAAAAGAAGGTGGGGGGTAGAAGGGAGGCAGCTTGTACAGATAGAGACTGGGAGTGCAGAAAATGGTAAAATAAGGTAGAAAGTGGGAAATTAAAAGAGCAAAGCTACTGGTTAGGAGGGGAAAGAAGAAGGGTAGGAACAGGAAAGGGAGAGAAATGTCTAGGCTAAGGTTTGGAATGGACAGACAGAGACTGTGTGGATGGAGAAAAGGTGGCCACTTTCAAGTTCACTGCCTTTAACCAAGAAAATCTTCCCCATGCCACTTCAAGCAGAAGTGCCGCTGCAGTCAGCAGCCTAGTAGTATGGAAATGTAGTACAGCAAACTCTTGAGACCAGTGGCCACATTTGGGAATTTGAGAACTGCTGTGGAGTCCATGGCTCATGAAGAACGGTTGCTGTGGGAGTCAGCAGAGGTCTCGGGCAGGGAAATGATGAGACAAGGAGAGATAGGAATACAGAAAGTGGGAGAGAAGGAACACAGCTAGGTGCTAGAAAAGGAGAGAAAGAAGAAGGTTGGAGGCTTGGAGCAGAAAGAAAGAGTGAGGAAGCAAAGGGAAAGGTCTGTGTAGGCAGAAGAAGATTGGGTGAGTCAGCATGCAACACATTGCTTTTTCACTCCCCTCCCACCCTGTAGCCTTGCTATTTCTCTCCCTGCAGCTTCTCGATGAGCCAGCCCCACAAAACAGCTTTTCTTTAACTAGCCACATCCTTTGTGGGAGCCATTTTGTGGTAGGAATCACAGCAGTTTCCCACATTTCCAAAGATGCCCTTGGTCAAGGGTTAGGGAGCCTGTTGCACATACAATGGCACCCCGTGGCAACTCTTGGTTTTATATTTTTATTTATTTATTTATTAAAACATTTTTATGTTTATACATCAAGAGGGCTTTTCAAATAATAATTGTAATACACATGACAAAGTGTTGCATCATAACAAAACATTCACAGGTTTTTGCAGGTAAAATAAATGAGAGTAGTGGTCAGGTAGCATGTTCTACAAGGGAAAATTCCCCAGCTGAACTCTACAACTGGGTTGCTCTTTAAACTACAACAGTGAAAGAAAATACGGTGCTGATCCTGAGTTTGCTCATTAATAATCAGTGAAAAACTGATTTTTCACTGATTATTAATCAGTGAAAATTGATTATTAATCAGAAGCATGCTGTAAGTGTGAGAGCACCATAAAGCGCACCATAAAGCAGAGGACAACAAAGGTAAATGAAGTGATCCAGAATTTTGGCTTCAGTTGATACTTTTTTAGCAGTACCAATTAGTATCATTACATTAGACTTGCAATGCCAGAGCATTTTGACCATATGTTGTATGTAAGAGAGAAGGGAGGGGGGCAAGGTTTGATGTCAGCATTGGTTCAAAGGATTTAAGTACTATTTTAAAACTGGATATGTAAACCTTTCAGTGCTAGGAGCATTTCCAAGGCATACTGCATATCTGACTAAAAACCTCAGTGAAACTATTCCTATTAGGCCTATATGTATAACATGCTAGCGAAAACATTTGGATAACCAGATGTCTGCATAAAATGGAATGTTGTTAACATTAAGAAGG